AGTATCAATGCATATTATTTTATTATTAAAATGATCCATATTTTATTTGCTTGGCAAGATTTGCCACCTGTATGCATCTGGATTCTCAGTGTACCACCAACCCAGGCTTGAAGGCTAGGAAGGAGTAGTTGCTGTGTTCTATAAGAATCCCTTCTCCTTGCCTAGGAGGATTCTGATTTTGTCGCCCTGCTTTAACTGATAAAGGTGTTGTTTGATCTGGTGTTGTAGAGTTGTTCATCCACATTGAGGCTATCTTATTTTGGGTGCCTTTGAGTATAGATAGGTGTATATATAATTTTTATTTTTCAAGGGTGCACAGTACTTCATGACCACCATGACAACCAATAGACTGTTCCAACAAAGCCTCGCACTGCAAATTGTGAGCCACACTGTTGATGGCGTTCTTGACAGGACAGGAATATGGTGGTTTGAATGTGGCAGACCATTCATGGCTCCACAGTATGTTGACATCTTCATGGTTTACTTAGAACAATGCTTTCTCAGACTCTCTTCTACCTGAGATACATTGGTTACATCTGAATCATCCGGATTCATGGAGGAGAGGCACTTGTGCAGCTCCACCAGGGCTTTGTTCACTTTCCCTTTACCAGCAGCCTGAACCTAGAGCAGGCTACTCAAAAGGATTGCTTTCTGGTTCAGATGCACTTCTGTGCAATCGCATAATGGGCATTAAATACCACAACCCTACACAGGAAACCCATTGACTGTTAGTTACATGGTTCCAGCTTTTTATCCAGAATACGTCATGAAATCAATTGTCCACAGCAAAGCCCTACAACTGCATCTGTTCAGATTTACCAGACAGAAGCTCACAGCTTTAAAATTTACATTAGCTTTTCCCGGACTACATTTGTCTCCCAACAAAATAAAAACAACAATAGATCATGGCCAGACTGGTACCCAGGAATAATTTACTAGAGCACAGACTTAGAGGAGAAAATGACAGAACACCCTTGTCACATTTAGTTTCCAACTGAAACCACACACACACACACACACTATATATATATATATATATATATATATATATATATGCAGGTTTTGGTGTCCTCGGGTGTCTTCCCGTGTAAAAGTTGGGGTGTCTAGGCGACGTTTCGACGAGGTCTCACTCGTCATCTTCAGGCTGGTGCTTTCGGCTTCTTGTTACTGGAACAGAGCCAATTCCAGTAACAAGAAGCCGAAAGCACCAGCCTGAAGATGACGAGTGAGACCTCGTCGAAACGTCGCCTAGACACCCCAACTTTTACACGGGAAGACACCCGAGGACACCAAAACCTGCATTCCTGTACCCGTGAAAATCTACGAAAGCATATATATATATATATATATATATATATATATATATATATATAAATAAAATATCACCCATGTTTTAGAAGAAGAAGAGGAGTTTGGATTTGATATCCCGCTTTATCACTACCCGAAGGAGTCTCAAAGCGGCTAACAACAAACACTCTGTGAGGTAAGTGAGGCTGAGAGACTTCAAAGAAGTGTGACTGGCCCAAGGTCACCCAACAGCTGCATGTGGAGGAGCGGGGAATCGAACCCGATTCACCAGATTACGAGTCCACCGCTCTTAACCACTACACCACACTGGCTCTCAATCCATCCTGAGGAATAACATCAATAGGTCTGTAATTGTTTAGATGCAGCTCCTTTCCAGCCTAAAACAGCTGATCATGACCACTAACATTTGACATAATAGAGATACAGACACACGGATGAGAACTTGTGGCAGATTCAGATGCCATCTTTTACCAATGTCTAGTCTAGCAACACTATTACAGGATCTAATAAAGTCATAAGCAACACCAGAGATTAATTCTGGTCATACTGCAACAGACACTTCAAAGGGAGACTGCAGTGTGGAAACAGTGAATTACAATGAAGCAAGATGTTCTGTGCTATGCTATCATTTGTGGACTGAATTGGAGTAACCAATGTTAATCTCTCTACATGAGTTAATTGGCTAATCAATGCTAGTATGTTCATATTATTAACAACTGATTTTTGTGAATGACCTCTATGAAGAACATATCAAGGTCTGCATCTTTCTTCAGATCTCACTGTTTATAATCCCTGCCCCCAACAGTATGATGGAAAAGAACCCTCAGAGGTATGCTACAATGTTTGTCTGTTCACACAGGGGATAATACTGCTCATATCTGATATGGGTTTGGCAGATTAGTCACAACATGTGGTCAGATCACCATCATATCATTTTTATGGGATTGATTTCAGTTGCTGCAATGAGGATGCAGACAAAATTCCTCGAGGAGTGGGGAATGACCACATGTCTACTCGACCTTGCCCATTCTGGGTATAACATCTAAGCAGAAGAAAGTTAAGTGGAAGGGTCTACGTGCTGGTTTATTTCACTCTGCATGTCTGTTTTTGGCTCAGAAAGGGCACTGGTTGTCCTCATGGATAACCTGGGAGAGCATGTCTCTGTTAATTCTCCTGGAAGTCTCAGTGACTATTGATACAACCAGCCATGATATCCTTCTGAGTAGCCTGTTTAGCTGAAGAACTGGGGACATGGTGTTTTGGTGGTTCCATTCCCACCTGAAAGGCAGATTCCAGAAGGTGGAAGTAGTAGATTACCTCTAGGTAGGTATGCTGTTGCATTCTACAGGGGTCTGTCTTGTCTTGTTCCCCATTCTGTTTGACAACTACAGTGAGTGAAGTCCTTCCTCCTGGGCCATGTTCATAAAGTGGTGGGGGGGATGAGTGTTCAGACCCCTGGGCTCTCACTTGTGGGGTGCCTCAGGGTTCTGTCCTCTCCCCCATGCTTTTCAACATCTACATGCAGCCGCTGGGAGAGATCATCAGGGGGTTTGGGCTGGGTGTTCATCAGTATGCGGATGATACCCAGCTCTACCTCTCTTTCAAATCAGAACCAGTGAAGGCGGTGAAGGTCCTGTGTGAGTGTCTGGAGGTGGTTGGAGGATGGATGGCGGCTAACAGATTGAGGTTGAATCCTGACAAGACAGAAGTACCGTTTTTGGGGGACAGGAGGCGGGCAGGTGTGGAGGATTCCCTGGTCTTGAGTGGGGTAACTGTGCCCCTGAAGGACCAGGTGCGCAGCCTGGGAGTCATTTTGGACTCACAGCTGTCCATGGAGGCACAGGTCAATTCTGTGTCCAGGGCAGCTGTCTACCAGCTCCATTTGGTACGCAGGCTGAGATCCTATCTGCCTGCGGACTGCCTCACCAGAGTGGTGCATGCTCTGGTTATCTTCCGCTTGGACTACTGCAATGTGCTCTACATGGAGCTATCTTTGAAGGTGACCCGGAAACTACAACTAATCCAGAATGCGGCAGCTAGACTGGTGACTGGGAGCGGCCGCCGAGACCATATAACACCGGTCTTGAAAGACCTACATTGGCTCCCAGTACGTTTCCGAGCACAATTCAAAGTGTTGGTGCTGACCTTTAAAGCCCTAAATGGCCTCGGTCCAGTATATCTGAAGGAGTGTCTCCACCCCCATCATTCTACCCGGACACTGAGGTCCAGCACCGAGGGCCTTCTGGTGATTCCCTCACTGCGAGAAGCCAAGTTACAGGGAACCAGGCAGAGGGCCTTCTCGGTAGTGGCGCCCTCCCTGTGGAATGCCCTCCCACCAGATGTCAAAGAGAACAACAACTACCAGACTTTTAGAAGACATCTGAAGGCAGCCCAGTTTAGGGAAGCTTTTAATGTTTGATGTATTACAGTATTTAAAAAATAAATTATTATTATTATTATCATCATCAACATCATCATCATTATTTGGGGTTTTGGAGGGGAGTATCATGAATATGCTGATGTAACCCACCTCTGTATCTTTTTAACATATTTTTCATATAAGAGCATGATAATTTTATTGGTGGTTAAGAGCTAATAAACTGATGCTTAGTCCTGGTAAAATAGTTACTGTTTATGAACGATTAATCAGTTTAGGCAAGGGATGTTAATCTGTTCTATACAGGGTTGCATTCCATCCTACAGGACCAGAGTTTTGGTGTGACCTTAGATCCAGCCTTGTTACTAGAGACCCAAGTGGCTTCAGTAGCACAGAATGCCTTCTATCTGCTGAGACAGGTGCAACAATTGTGACTCTTCCTGGGCAGAGATACCCTGACTAAAACAATCCATGCAAAAGCCCTACTCAAATTATAGAGGGAAGAACTGAGGCATGGCATGCACAGCCCATTTCAATGCTGCTCATACCCCCAACTCATCTTGTGAAACCTCTTACTCCCCCTCCCTCCCTCAAGGGAAAATCTCAGGGCTTGTAGTCCACGCCCATCATTCTTGAGAAGCCTTCTGTCACCTTTCCCTTTCTTCCTATCTGTTTGTCCTTTGGGAAAGGTGGAGAGGTAGGGCAGTGGACAAAGCAGCTGTGTTCTTTTATATACAGAGAAACTGTAGGAACTGTGCAATACGTGTAGATCCAGGAGATCTGGGGAAATAAAATACTGGAACATATAATTGAGATGTCACTTACTAGGTCTGTTCACATTCAGTGTTTCCTGTTTGTTTTTGTGTCTTTTGGGTCTATGAACTGCAATAAAGTTCTCTGTGTGTGATAAACTCTTGAGGAATCTATCTGAAGCATACTGAAACATATATTTATTTACTAGCTCAAGATGTAGAGGAAGGTGGTTTAAATACTTTCTACAGTCAAAAACATTTATCAATGAAGTTTGATTAGCAAAATTGGAAGTAAGAAGGAACTTGACTAGTAACATTAATTACAAGACCAAACATGGACAGAATAGGACTTAAACTTGGTATCACAACTTAATAACAAAATACTGTGCACAATTCAGATATAAAAAATTCTACTTCACTGAAAATTTAATCCTTTATGTTGTAGTTTCGGATTTTGGCCATTCGCTGGGGGGTCTGGGGTTTTCTGGATCGGTTGTAAGATGACTTGTTTGGGTTTTGCTTTGTCTGAACTTCAAACTTAGTCCCTCTGACAGTCAAGGCAGCTGCTGGTACTCTTTCTGTGTATGTGTGGGCTTCTTCCTGAGAGTCTTCAAGTCTTTGTGGTTCATGGATAACCTGGGATTTCTCTGCAAATCAAAAGGAAGAGAAAACGGATATTATTTTAGTTTGATGCCAATTGCTCAGAGCAGCATAAACATATATTAAGTAGTGGAGACAGGAACGTCTAGGGGAGTGGGCAGAACACTTTGAAGAATATCTGCCCACCCCAGTACCCCTATTTGCTATTGCCACCATTCAGGGGAGCAGAGCCAGAAGTCGTATGATACCATTATTTCATACTATCAACAGCATCTGTTATTGTGGGGACACAACCATCTGTCTATGTATCTAACTTTATTATTGTGAACTGCTTTGAGAACCATTAGGGTTGAAAAATATTATACAAACACTGTAAAATAAATAATTTTCACTTGCAGTTAAGAAGGTTGACATATTAGTGGGGGATAAGATAACTTTTAAATCCTTGTGATTTATTGCCTATAAAAGAGTCATAGGTTTGGTTTTGCAATTTTTATTTATTTGGATTGTTTTAATGTTTTCTTCTCCTGAAGGTTTTTCATCTGATGGGAAAGTGCTGTAATCAGAGGCACAGAGCCTTTCCCCACTATATTCTTAATGGTGTAGTGAAGTACAGTGGTACCTTGGGTTAAGTACTTAATTCGTTCCGGAGGTCCGTTCTTAACCTGAAACTGTTCTTAACATGAAGCACCACTTTAGCTAATGGGGCCCCCTGCTGCTGCCGCGCCACCGGAGCACGATTTCTGTTCTCATCCTGAAGCAAAGTTCTTACTTAACCTGAAGCACTATTTCTGGGTTAGCGGAGTCTGTAACCTGAAGCGTATGTAACCTGAAGCATATGTAACCCGAGGTACCACTGTATAGATACATCTGTTACTGTATAGACATACAGTGGTACCTCTGGTTGCAAATGGGATCCATTCCAGAGGCCCGTGCGCAACCTGAAAAGAACGCAACCCGCATCTGCGCAGCTTCTGCATATGCGCGAGCGGCGAAACCGGAAGTAACCCTTTCCGGTACTTCCGGGTTGCTGTGGGACGCAACCTGAAAACGCACAACCTGAAGCAAACATAACATGAGGTATGACTATCTGTTACTGAAATTCACTGATCAACAACCTTCTTATTAAGGTCACCAACCAACTACATTTTACATTTATTTGTGGGCCAATTTGTTACTTTGTATGAAAGAGACCACTCCATTCTTAAACATCCTGTACTGAAGTGACCAGAACACCTATGGCAAATCCCACTTCAAATCTCATCTTTACCACAAACTCACTGTTTTAAGATGTAGCAGAAAGTGAATGGTAGATATCAAACAAGACTTTGAAATTTATTTTGCCTGATATTCCTAGGTCAGAAAGATGTTTACATTATCAGCTTGAAGGCTTCCATGTAAATACTGTTTTAAGGTGAAGGAGAACAGTCTTTCTGGAAATATCAGCTCTTCATCTTACATGGGTTTTTTTTAACTTCCAATTTTGCCTTTGGCTAGGCAGAAATGCAACTATTCAAACATAACTGAATGGATGAATATTTTGCATTTGTGCACTGCATTTCCCCAAAACACAACATTTGTGTGATGAATTTACCCAGTCCAGCTCTGTTACAATTATTTCCATACGGAAAATCACTCTCATACTTACAAGCTCAGATTCTGATACTAGGAATTGTCAAGTATAGAAAATCACATCAGAATAAGTTAATATTTGTAAAGCACTTGAACGATGAAAAGTCTTGCATAACAGCAAAGTAAAATTGCATTTGTAGAGCCAGAAAGGAGTTCAAATTTATTGGTTAATATTCTACTCAGACCTCTCATTGTCTGGTGCTTTACCCACATGATGGAAAAAGTGTTGAAATTTTGTCCCATAAGCAAGAGTGAAAGGCAACATATGACCCAATAAGAGCCAAATTTCAGCCAAGACAACTGGACCAATCACAATGAGCGATAATAAAAGTGGTTCTTCAGTTTTCGTCATCCAAGTTCAAATATTGCAGCACAACATCTATTGCAGTTCTAACTATTTCCCATTTCTCTACCCTTTGGCAGCTTTTTATATGAAGCTATAATTCCCCAAGGACTGGAGCTCTGACCACAAACCATAGAAACCTAATTTTTCTCTCTCCCCACTACTCAGCATATATGTTGATGTTATCAACTTACCGGTAATTCTGTCAAGAATGCGGTAATTTTATCAACGGATAAGGTAAATCATAGTCTAACAAATAAGGCAAGAGAAGGAGCTGGAAAACATTTGGTTTGTAGTCACTTTTCAGCCTTTCTTCTTCTAACAGCAGCTCTTTGAGCTACTTTTAAAACTCAGGAGATGATCAAAATCCGTGTCAACTCAGTGCTGCTGTTCGTGAGAAGTACATGCAAATAATCTTTTCTAGGTAAAGTCTCTTTGTTCACATCTATAATCACACCAACTAAAATCCCTTTTACACTGCTAAACGCCAGCTGTTGAAAGTTGGCCCAAACAAGAATGTGCTGGAGAGCTGTCTTCCCTGTGTTCTAAGTTATATGACTGTTCTGGGGAATAGGGTGTTATACCAATGTTTTCTTCAGCAAACTGTAGCTCTGTTCCTATTGGGGAGGGGGGATCTTGGGTACTAGACAACAGCTGCAGAGCAAAAGAAATATTTAGTTCAGAACTGGCTCAACAACAGTCCATCTGTTTCCTCTTGCAAGGGAGGGCAGAGATATTTCCCCAGCCTGGACCTCCGCATTCTGAAATGAGGAGAAAGAGTGATAACTAGTTGCTATGGTGACTAGGCCTTGGCCAAGCTGTGCCACAATGGCCATAGTATGAAGAAGGTACAAAGTTGGATACTTTCAGTAGCTTGGGCCCACTGCACACCCTGATAAGACCCTGGGATCATGTAAGGAGAGTAAAGTGATATGATAAACTTTCCCCTCAATACCTGCCATTTACCATTGCAGAACTAGATTTCAGTTATAAGCAAAGTAGGGAAGGGGGTGTGGAGAAGGACCCAATTAGCAGGCAAGAATTAGGGTGTTGGGAGGAGAGAAAAGACTGCATTTTTACACATACACAGTTTGCTTTTAGATTTCATTCTGGCGGTTTGTGAGAATTTTATACTGGGTTAGGTTTTACTATGCTGACACACCTCTTTACCCTGGCTTTTGACACTTGAGGTGTATATTGATAGGACCCACATTCTTTTTATGATTATAAGTTGTTTTAAACCACTTTTAATGTTGTATCAATGTTGTAACCTGCTCTGGGCCCTCAGGGTAAAGGGTGGGTAATAAACAAACAAACAAATAAATCAAGCTATTGGTCCTGCCAGTAAAGTGGTACGAAGGGAACAGTCTTCTTTCTCTGAATAACATGGGTAGATTGTCAAATCTACATTGCATCAATTCTGTGCCCTCTACACTGTTCCTGAATAAATGCAGCAAAGATCGTTTAGCAATGTATAAATCGACTCAATCTTTTGTATTAAATCAGAGATGCAACAAGGACACAAAACGGTCCTTATTTTCACCTGTGAGGTGTTGGAGGGTGGCATTTTAAAGTCTTGAGGTATACACATCACTTGCATCTGCATTTGGAGAGCCAGCATTTCTTTTTTGCATTCAAGTTTCCAATACTAGATTAGGTAATTGGTGTCCTTGCAAACTGCCAGTTGAGTTTCACCTGCTGACAGCATGAAACATTAGGCAAGTTACTGTGACATCTGCATGTGCAAACACTGTTTTTGCTTTAGCAACAGGTTCTTGACCTGCAGTATCTTCAATATCTTCAGTGTCTCGGTCTACCAAATAATTTTGCCATAGCACGTGGGTCATTGCCATCAGCACACATGCCATCCCATACTGTCATCCCTGCTTGCTGCCACAGCCTATAGAAATGCTGCTATACCAGGACATAAAAATAATCTGCAAGTGTATTACACACGTTGCATTTTCAAAGCCCTTGGTAAACGTTAACCAATTAATCAAAATCCTGAAGCTACTCGGGAGAGGATTGTTCAATTTGTGAAATTGTCTGGTGGATTCATTTAAACAAACAAGCATGCCAGTAGGGAAAAGATTAAAAGCAAAAGAGACGGTCTAATACTGTAGAGGCAAAAAAGGTAGATGAGCTAAGACAATGAGTCAAGAATACAAGAGGAACCCGCTGGATGAGGCCAATGGCCCATCTAGTTCAGCATCCTGTTCTCACAATGACCAACCAAATGACTGTGGGAAACCTGCAGGCAGAATTCGAGCATGAGAACACTCTCCTCTCTTGTGGTTTCCAGCAACTGATATTCAGAAGCATTGCTGCTTCCAACTATTGAGACGGAGCATAGTCACAATGGCTTGTAGCCATTGATAGCCTTATCCTCCATGAATTTGTCTAATCCTCCTTTAATGCCATCCAAGTTGGTGGCCATTGCTCACTGCCATTGCTGGGAGTGAGTTCCATAGTTTATGTTCTATGTGAAGAAGCACTTTCTTTGGTCTGTCCTGAATCTTCCAACATTCAGCTTCATTGGATGTCCACGAGTTCAAATATTACGAGGGAAAAAACTTTTCCTATCCTCTGTCTCTATGCCGTACATAATTTTATAAACTTCTATCATGTTACCTCTAACTCAGCTTTAATCTTAACTAAAAAGTCCCAAATGCAGTGACCTTTCTTGAGAGGGGAGATGGCTCCATCCCCTTGATCATTTTGCTTGCCCTTTTCTGAACCTTTTCTACCTGTACAACATCCATTTTGACTCAAAAAGATTGAGAGTTAAGAAAATAGGCCAGCTGTTTTAGATGGGATAAAGGGAGACCTATACAAACGGGATTGCAATAATCAAGCCCAGGTAAGAGAATGAAGAATTTTAGCAGCATTTTCTATGAGAAAGTAAATGATAGAAAACAACTTCATTTTGTCAGAGCAGCAAAATCACACCTATATCACAAGCATGTGAAACAGAAAGCGGGGGTGCGCACCATCAAGAGTTAAAGATGTTTAGGAGGGGACGTCAGAAGCTCTACTTCCCATCTCCTCACATTCCTTTCAGAGCTGTGGAGCAGTCTTTCTTTAAAGATGAAATGATGAGCGTGAATAGCTCAGTTGATTAGAGATTCAGGTGGATAGCCATGCTGATCTGTCATAGTCATCATAAATAACAAGATGAAAAAATATTTTTTAATAATTCCAGTGGCACCTTTAAGATCAACTAAATATAAGCTTTCAAGGTATAAGCTTTTGTGTGTAATACACTTTGTTAGATACTCAGTTGACGTGGGCGGCGCTGTGGATTAAACCACAGAGCCTAGGGCTTGCCGATCAGAAGGTCGGCGGTTCGAATCCCCGTGACTGGGTGAGTTCCTGTTGCTCGGTCCCTGCTCCTGCCAACCTAGCAGTTCGAAAGCACGCAGTGCAAGTAGATAAATAGGTACCACTCAGGCGCTGCTCTGGTTCGCCAGAAGCAGCTTAGTCATGCTGGCCACATGACCCAGAAGCTGTACGCCGGCTCCCTCGGCCAGTAAAACGAGATGAGCGCCGCAACCCCAGAGTCGTCTGCGACTGGACTTAACGGTCAGGGTTCCCTTTACCTTTACCTTTAAATGTGCCACTGGAATTATTAAAAAAGATTTTTTCATCTTTCATCTTGTTATTTATTACGTTAGTTGATTAGAACAGTGGTTCCCAATTAGGAGTCCGGGGACCCCTGGGCGTCCGCAGAACCATCCCCTGCCAGAGGACTCACTTATCTTGTTAATTGCACAGTGAAATCCTTTCACAGATCATCTAGCCTCTGCTCTCGACCAGAGTGCCTGCTTGTTGGCAGGGCCAAAACTTGTGAAAGAGTTGCTGGATGACAAGTGAGCTGGGATTGGGCAAAAACCTCTGACACAGATTCTTGGGGCTCTTGCTATTGGAGGAGGCGAGGAGAGATAGAGTGCACAAACAGCTTGCTAGTTCACATTTTTTTTTTATTTCATTGCTTTATTTCATAGACTTTATACAGTGCCTGATTGCGCAAAACCTCAAAGCAGTTTACAAAAACCAGACAGCATGGGCTGTCCCTAATCAATGGAGTTATTAGGGGATATCAGGTCAGCCTCATTCGCCCTCCCATGACCCAAGGGGTGGGGGTGGGAAATGTCGCTATAATAAGACACCTGGGTGGAGAAAATGTTGCTTGCATTGGGGGAGGAAGGAGCTTCCATGGAAAGGCCTCCTTCGGGCTTCCATTCTGGGATCCCTTCCCTTTGCTCTCTACTTTTTAATTGAAAATAATTTCTAATTGCTTTCAACAACTTTCAAGTTTAAAGGATTCTCCCACTGCTTGTACATAGGGTTTTCAGTGAATTTGGGGTTCATATCTCATCTTGGAAATCTAAATGGAGAAATACGGTAGCTAAGCAATTTGCCACTATGATTAGCACAACAGCTAATCCTCTGATGATTTAGTTTCGTGCAAATGGCAGCCTGTGTGGATTTTGTTTTCTTGTTTTCTGTGGGAAGCTATGTGGCTACATTTGGGGGTGGGAGGAAGCAGGTACATGGCAGAATCCTAATGAATTAAAAAGATGCTTGTCCCTATTGGGTAATCAGCAAGAATAAAAACCTTACTCCAAATAAGTATTGTATTTAACTAATTACTCTATTTAAGCCAGGGATGAAACTTGGGCACAGAAGGAAACAACAACAACAACGTGATGAAATGGGAAGCCAACATACAGCCCCTTGTTGGCTGTCAAGGGGAAGCATACTGAAGTGATTCTTTGAGTTAAGTGAAGTATGACTTTTTCGGACAGGTTCAAAATTTCCCTCTGATCAGTTGAACAACTTTGCATGGTTGTGTATGGTAGCCTACTTAGCAGATGTTTTCACATACTTGGAACACTTTCAACACAAAACCTTCAAGGTAGTGATGTGAATATTTTTTACACTGAAGATAAGATTGAGGCAGTGATTAAAAAGTTATGGTTATGGACAAGCCGAGTAGAAGGTGGTAGTCTTACTAACATCCCAACACTGGAGACATTTCTGGAGGCCACTGACAAAGAACTGATACCAGAAGTAAAACATTACATAAATGAACACCTGTGTGATTTAGCAACTAGCTTCAGAGATTACTTCCCTGCACCAAATTCTGAAAACTCATGGATAAGGAATCCTTTTGAATATGGTGGTGTACAACTAACAACTTTATCTGCGGAAAAGAAAGATGCACTTGTTGACGTGACTTGTGATGGTTCATTGAAATCATTTTTCAAAGTATGTAAGCTGGACCAATTCTGGGTGAAAGTTTTTGCTGATTGTAAGAAGTTAGGTGAAAAGCTTTGAAACATCTACAGTAGTACCTCATGTTACAAACTTAATTCCTTCCGGAGGTATGTTCTTAACCTGAAACCATTCTTAACCTGAGGTACCACTTTAGCTAATGGGGCCTCCCGCTGCCGCCATCGCGTGATTTCTGTTCTCATCCTGAGGTAAAGTTCTTAACCCGAGGTAATACTTCCAGCTTAGCGGAGTTTGTAACCAGAAGCATTTGTAACCTGAGGTGTTTGTAACCCGAGGTACCACTGCAGTTCTCTTTTGTTCTACAAAACAAACATTTTCAACATTTTTTTCATATATGAAGAACTGGCATAGAAATCGGCTTCATGTTGAACCAAATTTGAGAATAAAAGTTGAACCAGATATGGAAGGGATTGTTTGGGAGGGGGGGAAGAGCCATGATTTCTCCCATCACATTTAGATTTAGTGTGTTTTTAACATTCTGTTGGGAGCCACCCAGAGTGCCTGCTTTTTTTAGTATACCTAAAATCCTTTCCTTATTTGGGGCAACCCCACATTTTCTGTATACATAAATATATCTTCTTCTTTGGCGATCACTTGTAGTGATGCTGGATTTTGGACCTTGTATAAGGAGAAATGATAGACACTTTCCAACGTTACACCATTGAGTTGGATTTGTGGTGCTGCAGAGGGGTTGTTTTGTGCTTGTTGGTGCAGCACTTTGGTCTTTTGGGTGTTGAATGATAGGCCAAGATTTTTGTAAGCTTCTGCGAAGGCATTTAGGATGGTTTGGAGGTAATCCTCTGAGTGTGCACACACTACATTGTCATTAGCATACTGAAGCTCTATGACGGAAGTTATGGTAACCTTACTCTTTGCTTTCAGCCTACTCAGATTAAAGAGCTTTCCATCTGTTTGATATATGATTTCTACACTGGTGGGGAGTTTCCCTTCAACAAAGTATAGGATCATGGCGATGAAAATAATAGAGTTGGGGCAATAACACAACCCTGTTTAACACCTGATCTCACTGTGAATGGTTCACTTTGAGAGCCACTGTTATCTGCGATTGTTGCTGTCATATGGTCACAGAGGAGCCAAAGGATGTTCACAAATTTATCTGGGCAGCCGATTTTCAGAAGGACAGTCCACAGGGCATTACGATTAACAGCATCAAAGGCCTTAGTCAGGTCAATGAATGCCATATACAGGGGCTGGTTTTGCTCTCTGCATTTTTCTTGAAGATGTCAAGCAGTGAAAATCATGTCCACTGTCCTCCTCGAAGGTCGAAAACCATGTTGGGATTCAGGAAGGGTAGCCTCAGATATTTTTAGGAGATGGTTTGCTAAGATCCAGCCGCAGCTAATAAAAAGATGCCTCGATAGTTTCTGCAATCTGTTCTGTCACCTTTTTATCAATCTCGGCATCCCTAAAGTCTGCTGGGGCCACCTCTTTCTCCCATATTTTTTCGATGAGCTTGTGAAGTTGTTGTGTAAGTTCAATTCCACCTACTTTGAAGACTTCAGCAGGTATCCCATCAGGTCCGCTGGCTTTGTTGTTTTTCATTTAGTTAATAGCTGTACATAACTCTCCCAGATTTGGAGATGCTGCAAGCTCATCTCTAATTTGTTTTTGTGGAATTTGTGAGAGGACCTCAGCAGCTATGGGGGAGTTGTGGTTAAGGAGATGCTGGTAATGTTCTTTCCAGCACAGTGCAAGAGCTTCTTTATCTTTCAGAAGTTTGGTACCGTCTGTTGAGCATAGGAGGCATGATTTATTGCCATGATTTATTGGCCCATAGATGGTCCTAGGGCTTTAAAGAAACTCTGTGCATCATGAGTGTCGGCTAAGTGCTGGACCTCTTGAGCTTTTTTTATCCACCAGGTGTTATTTAGTTCTCTGATTCTTCTTTGAACCTCAGCCTTAGCGGCAACATAGGTTTTTTTTCTTAGTGGTGCAGTTTCTATCTCTTTGCCAGATCAGAAAGGTCTTCCTTTTCTTGTCAATAATGCATTCAATCTCATGGTCATTCTCATCAAACCAGTCCTGGTGTTTATTGGTTCGATATCCAATAGTTTGTTCAAAGGCTGCAATAGTGGATGTTTTAAGCTTGGTCCAGTGTTCCTCGATGTTGTCAGGAAACTCCAAAAGCAGATGGTCCTTAAGAGTCGTTTGGAAGCAATCCCACGTAATAGGATCTTGAAGGGCTTGAGTGTTCATTTTGTGCCTTGGTTTCCTTCCTAAATATATAGAAAGCTCTTGGCCAGACATTAGCAGTTCAATCCTAAATATGCATGATTGCATTAAGTTCAGCTGAATTCAGTGTAATTTTAATATGTTAAAAACTGAAGACTTAAGCAATGGCCCTGTTTGCACATCAAAGTAAACCATAGTTAACAGCTTACAGTGAACATGTAAGTTGCTCTGACTTCATTCCTCCTCAAGTGTAGGTGGAAGCAGCAAACCACATTCCCTGGCTTAGTGTTGATCCTCATAATTGTGGATTCCAAAACAAACCTTGGCATCATATTATGACTGTTCAGATTCCACCCACATTAGGGAAGAAACAAAGCAGGAGCCACTTGCACATTCATGGTAAACCATTTATTATGGTTTGCAATACTGTGAATGTGCAAATGCAGTCAAGGCTTACAATCACAGTTCTAATATGTACATTTCACTATGCACGGCGAAATTTGTTTCTGAGATTTTTTACTCTAATACAAAGAACTAATTCATAATGACTTCACCTTTTATAAAGTCAGCATCAGAATATATTAAAGCTGTGCTTTTATATCTGCTCCAAACAAAGCTCATGTCATGAGGATAGGCAATGAATATTTACATTTCTTCCTTGGGAGATTTTTATCAAAAGTGGAATAATGCGCTGAATTATATAACTAACTGAGAACAGTGATAGTGTGTCTCTAACAAGCTTACCTGATAATCTCAAAATGGCCTTTCTGCAGCAGTCTCAAAGTTATATATAAAACTAGAGTAAAGGGTGGATGGCTGGTTCCCAGTACTAGAAAGAGTAATTTTCTAATTTTCTAATCTCAAGGAGTAGGAAGTTGCCTTGTCTGTCAAAGAATCCCTGAGCACCAATCTTGGATCTCTATCCAATACCGAGGCTATTGGAATAAGCTCTGGGCACAACATTAGTTCATCTGGGGTACATGCAGGCTTATTGGGATCCAAGAGAAGGGATTGCACTCCCTCCTAACATTGCAGTAGAAAGTCAGTAGGGAAGGACAATATGTCTTTTGGGAAAGTTCTGCAGAGCACAGTTTGAAAACCACTGTACTAGAGTAAGTAGTGGAGCTGAAACTACAGACATCTATTAATAGGGCATGCGTGCATGTATTCTCCACTCATTTCAAAATTGGCAAGCAAAGAGCAAGAACACTGTGGATTGCACCATAAGTAGGGCAGAGGCATTCCAACGTCTACTGGTATAATGCGTCAAGAAACTGCTGTACAGTACCTGACTCGAATACAAAATTAAATAGCCACTTCATTCTATACCATGCTTACCTTGCTCTTTGTTGCTTTGGGGGCTGAGAATAGAAGGGCTTGATCCCATCTCTAGAATCTGCCAGATTTCCTCCAGGGAGCCAGCAGTACCAGATGATGACAACAGGCCTTGCTGGAGTTGGCTGGGACTTTCTTTTGTAAGTAGTTGAGACTGGTGTGGAACTAAGGTTTCATGCCTTGGGGAATCTGCAACACGATTTCCAACAATTGATTCTGACTGAACCTGTGGAAATGACAGTATGCCCTCAGTAATGATCAGGGATCAATGACATCTGGAAATGAGCTGAAAATATCAAAAGCCAAGGGTAGGCTTGTATGGCTAACAATGTTTCCTTCCTCAGGTTAAGTTTATGGTCTACTAAGACCCCTAGATCCTTTTCACATGTTCTTCTGGTAAGCCAGGTGCCCCACACCCAATCTTTGTGTTTGTGCAGCTTGTTATTCCTGCCTAAATGTGCAGCTGGTTATTCCTGCCTAAATGTAGAACCTTACATTTGTCCCTATTGAATTTCATTCAGTTAGTTTGGACCCAGTTCTCCAATCTGTTAAGGTCATCCCAACTTTGTCTTCTGTGGCATTAACAAAGAATGGTGTCATCTGCAAATTTGATGAGCACCCTCTCAATTCCTTTGTCCAAGTCATTTATAAAGACACTGAACAACAACAGGCCTAGGACAGAATTCTGTGGCACCCCATTTGTCACTTTTTCCCCAGGATGACAAGGAACCATTAATGAGCACTCTTTGGGTTTGGTCAGTCAACCAGTTACAAATTCACCTAATGGTTACCTTGTCCAGCCACATTTTACCAGTTTTTCCACAAGTATATCATGGGGGACTTTGCCAAAAGCCTTACTAAAATCAAGATACACTATGTTCACAACCTTCCCCTGATCTACTAAGCTTGTAATTCTAAAAAAAAAGAAAAAAAGAAATGACATTTGTCTGGCATGACTTGTTTTTGAGAAACCCAAGCTGGGTCTTAGTAATCACAGCAACTTTTCCTAAGTACTCACAGTCTGTTTACTTTTCTGTTCAAGGACCTTTCCTAGTATTGATGTCAAACTCACCAGTCAAGATGGGTTTAAGATGGGTTGGGACTGATATTTCATAACTGAATGACCTGGAAATTCACATCCAATATAAAGACAAACTAAGCTTGACATAACACTACTAATAGCATACAAAGGGGCTAACTACATGTCACATAGAACTCCAATGCTATGGGGCTTACTATGTAAAAGCAGTTTGGGGAGTTAAATATGGAGTGAAGAAACAGTGGGAAGTGCTTAGTTCTTTTCCTGTTTGTGGGGATTCTGTTCCAAATTGCATCTCCACATGGTTTTCTGTCCAATGGGGTTCAACATTATTTTATTAGCTTGATTATAGCTCCATCTACATACAGCGTGCTTTATTTACAAATAACAAGAGGATGTGTTCCTATCCCAAAGTATTTACAATGCAAAAATAGACACAAGAGAGAAACAGAAGAAGGTGAGAGAAATGTAGGCAGGGGTAAACAGGTGGAAAATATACAATGATTCCAGTTAACTATACTTCAGCTTAGTAGAAGCTCCTAGAGCATTGGGTCTCTAGGAGGTTGTTCAAAAGGCTTCATAAAAAAGGGAAATTTTGGTGAGGGATTTGAAGTACCGTATTTTTTGCTCTTTAAGACGCACCAGACCACAAGACGCACCTAGTTTTTGGAGGAGGAAGACAAGAAAAAAAAAATATTCTGAATCTCAGAAGCCAGAACAGCAAGAGGGATCGCTGCTTTCACTGCGCAGCGATCCCTCTTGCTGTTCTGGTTTCTGGGATAGCTGCGCAGCTTGCATTCGCTCCATAAGATGCACACACATTTCCCCTTACTTTTTAGGAGGGGAAAAGTGAGTCTTATAGAGCAAAAAATATGGTAAGTTAAGGAGATGGTCACATGGAAATTCAGTTCAGGGAGATAGTTCCATCCATAACAGGGAGCAAGGGGAATAAGGCAGAGTTGTTTCAGGGAACACAAGACATTTGGGTGCCGACAGGTGAAGAAGCTGGATGATTTAAGATCACAGACAGAGAAGTGTTTGGACATATGTGGGGCTGCCTCTGAAGATGATTTGGAAACTTGAGCTGATGCAGAATTTGGTGGCCAGGTTGCTCACCGAGGCAAGACAGTCTGAGCATATTACACTGATCCTGGCCTGGCTGCACTGGCTGCCAATTAGTTTCTGGACCCAATTCAAAGTGCTGGTGTTGACCTATGAAGCCTTACATGCGCAGGACCACAATACCTCAAGGACCACCTCTCCCCATATGAACTGCAATCATCATCTTGAGGCCTTTCATCATGTGCCTCCTCCACATGATGTGGCAACACAAGAATAGGCCTTTCTGCAATGGCTCCATTTGTGAAATCCTCTCCCCAGGGAGGCTCACCTGGCGCCTTCAATATATATCTTTAGGCCCCAAGCAATAATGTTCTTTTTCAACCAGACATTCTATGTCTTTTAATGCGGGAGGAGGGGGTTATTGGTTTGTTTTGTTCTTGTTTTTTTCGCGTGTATTTTGTGTTTTTATTTTGTATTTTATGCTGTGGACTACCCTGAGGTCTTCAGATGAAGGGTGGTATACAAATGTAACAAACAAACAGAGCTACGGGGAAGCAAAGCAATAGAAGGTTAAACACCTATAAATACAAATAATAAACAAATATTTTAAACACTGATTGGAAGGAAGCAGCTTGGGGGTGGGTATTTGAATATAATACGTTGGACTATACCTGTTTCATAGGGATTTCTGCTTCTTCACTACAGCTGCTGCTTCTCGGGAGATATTCGGTATTTAAGTTCTCAACAAAATAAGGACACTTTCCTGGGGCATGCTTTCTCTGCGCATACTGTAACTCCTGCCATGAAAAGAAACAGTCTAAATTAGTAGCTTTGATTTATTACAAGCTTCTTTCTCAATTCTCTAGAAATACGTTTTAATAAAATGGAAATTCCTTCCAGTAGCACCTTAAAGACCAACTAAGTTAGTTCTTGGTATGAGCTTTCGTGTGCATGCACACTTCTTCAGATACACTGAAACAGAAGTTGCCAGATCCTTCTATATAGTGAGAAGGTGGGGAGGGGTATTACTCAGAAGGGTGGTGGGAATGGGTGATTGGCAGATAGCTGTGATGAGCCTGTTGACGACTCTTAACGACTGCATTAGGTCTTACAGGAAAAAGCAAGGGGTGAGAAGGTGAAAAATGGCTTTGTCATGTATAATGAGATAAGAATCCAATGCCTTTGTTCAGACCAGGTCTCTCCATGGTTTTAAGTTTGGTAATGAGTTGCAATTACCATTATTACCAAACTTAAAACCATGGCAGACCAACACGGCTACCTATCTGTAACTGTTAATAAAATGGGACAGGTTAAACACTAATATTCTCAGAAAAAGAACAGATAAAGCTCTCATTCCCTAACGTACTTCCACTAACAGTGGTGGTCAAAACTGATTTTCTACATACAATCCCAAACTCTGGTTATTGCACTGCCCTGGAAGACTGCAGCCATGATCCGGTTATGCATGTCAAACCCCATTAACAAACTGGAGCATTTACAACACATGCAATTCAGTGCACCATCAATTAATTCTCTTCAGTTACAAAACTAAAACAATTCTATATTGCTTATAAATATTTTAATAAGGGATCACTGTAAGATTTTGTTGTTGTTGTTGTTGTTGTTGTTTTTTACTAAGGCTGGGCTGGTGCTCCCAAAAGTCTTGTCTTCTCATAAAAGCCCTTTTTATCACTACAGCACTTCAGTTTGCCTACATTTTCTAAAAGTTAGCTACTAATTTGATGGTGTCTTTTGTTTGTAATTATATTACTCTCTCCATATATATACAGTGGTACCTCGGGTTACAGACCCTTCAGGTTACATATGCTTCAGGTTACAGACTTTGCTAACCCAGAAATAGTACCTCGGGTTAAGAACTTTGCTTCAGGATGAGAACAGAAATCGGCGTGGCAGCAGTGGGAGGCCCCATTAGCTAAAGTGGTACCTCAGGTTAAGAACAGTTTCGGGTTAAGAACGGACCTCCAGAATGAATTAAGTTCTTAACCCAAGGTACCACACTGTGTGTGTGTGTGTGTGTGTGTGTGTGTGTGTGTGTAACAGTCTTAATCTATTTGTTGTTCTCTTTTAATCAATTAGGCTTCAAACGGCTGAATAGCATATATTTTTATTAAAATGAGCAAAAGCAACCAATCAATTCCTCTCCTCAGTCCACCCCCCATCCTAATATTACATTATATAACATTCCTATACACGTCTACCCAGAAGTAAGCTCCTTCGAGTTCAATGGTGCTTCATTTCACAGAAATTGTAAAATAGAATTTAAGCTTCCCTGTTCTTTATCTCTTCCCATAACTGAAAGAGGTGACTAGCTATGGACTTCACTACCTTTGCAAACTGAAGAGAGGCACTGGACAGAGCAGCCAATTCTGTTGGTTTAATTTTACATCATGAGCCAGTTGGCTGCTCTACAGTATGACTGTCTCCCTAGGCTTGCTTCATGTAGGTCATTGACTCCAAGGACTCATGGGAATCACAGTAATCCCAGGGTCCTTCTTAGTGCATAAAAATGATCACCAAATACATCTCTTGACATCTTCATCTCAAACTTTGTAATATCACATTCCTCCAATACTTTGAGCTGTCTCTGATCATGATAGAAAAGTCAGAGTTGCAGTCAACTGTGTTCCAGCATGCCATGGAAGTGACTGCTATACACAGAGATAGTTAATCTTCTTTGGTGCAAGGGCTGCATTCACCTTGGTCAATCTTCCAGGGGCTGGATGCCAGTTCTGCGGTGCGGTCACAAGCAGGTTATTTCCCCCTCTCTGCTCATGAAATTAACAATCTGAAGACTAGGAAGGGATGATTTGTACCCCCATCAGAGCACTGGACTGGGTGGAGATACTTAAACCTTTCTGCCAACCCCTGTGCTGTGTCTACTTTATTTCACAAAATCAGTGAGATCTTGGGTGGGGTATAAAAATTTTGCCTTGAGGGAGGGAGGGGATACAGCCACTCTACCTGTAAAACATGCATAGTGAAAGCATACTGCATGTCACTCTCCAGTCCACAGTTTGCACAAAGTCATTGCTGTGACTAGGAGAGGGCTTGGCATTCTCAGGACAGGCTTCCCTCCGAACCAGGCCTTATGGCAATACTCCAGAGGTTCTGCACATACAGCAAGTACTGACATGTTGCCTAAAGGAGAAGCCTACATTACCTGTGTCGTAAGCTGGTACTGGAGGTGCTCTAAAGCCAGAAGATGGTGCTTAGTCTCCCTGACAAGTTCTTTAGGATGTAGGGCACAAGATGAAGTGTGATCCTGAGGCTGCTTTGAAATCTTGAAGTCCTGAGAGCCTAGAAATCCTAAGAAAATAAATAGGTAGGAGTTTTCCACATTGCATTTAACACGGCATTTTTAAATAGAAAATGTCTTGCCTACAAGAAACTGCTGCTCGCAGCTGTAAATGAATTACACTGTTGTGGCAGTATATCAGCATGTAAGTTTAAAGAGATGTGTAGAAACTAGCCTGGGAAAATCTTTTCCAAGCAATGACCTTCACTTCTTCACTTCATTCAAAGAAGCTGGGCCACGGAACACAAACTTTGAAATGAAATTCTCATACAAGGCTTCCATTTAGGCCTCAATTTTGTTAAACAATAATCTCATTCTGCATTGTTTATTTCCAGGAAAGAAAATCAAACATACAACTGCTTATTTCAGGAATATTCAAAAATACATGATAAGTACATAACATAGTTCTTTGCTGTTATGCAACATGCAGCTGCCACCTTAACCTTTCAGTGCCAGTACCAAAGGTTTCCAAAGCCAAGAGTAAGAAACAAATACTCTGTTCATGCTTTTCCACCATATTCAATACTTGGCACAACTTAATTACTAGTACTTCATTCTCAAGTGATAACTGGGATTTCTTAATCTCAGCAAAGAGCCTACAGACAACACTTCAGTTTCCTAGTGTTCTCAATCTCAGGAAGCTAAATTGCTCATAAAAGAACCAAGATCCTTCTACCTTAATGAGATTACCTTCCTTTGAAGCTGCTCCAAGTTCTGCTCTTAGTCTGTTTACCATCTCTAGTAGCTGATGCTTCTCTTTGCTCAAACTGCAGATCTTTCTCACAGCTTCCTTCAATCTACCTTGTCTCACTTGTGCATGATTTCCTATAAGTTGATGGGGTCCATCACCAGCCTCCACGCCAAATAACTGTTGCCTGAGATGTACAGAATCTCCCTGAAGCTTCCTGGTCACTGAATTCTAGAAGAATAAACGACAAGTATCAAAATAAATGAAGTGATTTTTTGGCAGGATATATATTCCATTATAATGAATAAAATCTATGCCCAAATGACAGCTACCATAAAAAGATTGCAGTCTTGAATAGTGTGTTGTATGAACCAAAACAAAAATGAAATTCCTATACTAATCCCAAACTGTGTGCCATGAGAAGTGCTGAAGAGTGTCTTGAGAAATGAAGCCACCACTTTGGAGGCTACTTCTACTCTATAGCCCTCTGAAATGGGGAGACCCCATGCAGCACTGATTGCTCCTTAATCTGCCAGGGTCAGAGTTGGCCCAAGACATTTTGTTGCCTGAAGTGAAGGACAAAATGGCACCTCTTCCTATTCCATGTATAGAGAATGACTAGATGGGCAGCTGAATATTACTAAGGCTAGCTTAGAGGGCAAACAATAGGTAAGTTATGTGAGCCAGTGTGGTGTAGTGGTTAAGAGCGATAGACTCATAATCTGGGGAACTGGGTTCGCGTCTCTGCTCCTCCACATGCAGCGGCTGGGTGACCTTCGGCTAGTCACACTTCTCTGAAGTCTTTCAGCCCCACACATCACAGTGTTTGTTGTGGGGAGGAAGGGAAAGGCGAATGTTAGCCGCTTTGAGACTCCTTCGGATAGTGATAAAGCGGGATATCAAATCCAAACTACTACTCTTCTTCTTCTTCTTCTTCTTCTTCTTCTTCTTCTTCTTCTTCTTCTTCTTCTTCTTCTTCTCTGCCCCCCAGCACTTTGCTGCTGCTTCCCACCCCACCCAGCATCTGCCACCAGAGGCAGCCTCCTTACTCTGCCTAATGGTAGAGCCGGTCCTGACTAGTATACAGCAGAAACATCATCCCAATAAAGACACACTCCTGAGCAAACCTGCACTGTATCAGCATTTCATCTCCTGAGCCTTCTGGACACAAAATGCAACGTGCTGCCTCTAGGCTAAATATTCCAAATAGCTTGAGGCCTGTAAATCTATACCTCATTGTGATCTCTTATCTCCCCTGAGAGCAGGGGACCCCTCTTAATTATTCCACCTGTTCACCAACTTGGTTCATGAAGGATGTGCAGAGAAGCACTACTGGTGACTTCTCTTCCATGGAAAATCTCAAAGCTAAGTGAGTCCTTTCGGGCCCGACATTTGGTGGCCATGGTTAGGCTGGTATGATTCAAGTTTGATACTGTGGTTGACATTATGTAAAACTGGAGGTGTCTGATGTGGAAAAAATACTTGGGAATATAGTAAAGTAGGATAAATCTTATCCCTTTCAGATTGAATAGCTGCAATTTTAGCCAAATGATTCATCCCCCACAGTATGATGGAATAATACAAGCTATTCTCCTTTGCAACCAGTATCAGTTAAATTATCCCTCTTATGATAGTCGTTCATGTATCCTAGTAGACTGGAATAACTGTGATACATGGAGTTACAATGCCTCCTAGTGGAAGTTGATGGATAAGTACAGATTCTAACTTTTATATTAAAATACAGTGGTACCTCAGGTTACAAACACTTTGGATTACAAACACCGGGTTACAAACTCCGCTAACCTAGAAGAGTTACCTCGGGTTGAGAACTTTGCCCCCGGATGAGAACAGAAATCACGTTTCTAAAAGTTAGTTACTAATTTGATGGTGTATTTTGTTTGTAATTATATTACTCTCTCCATATATATATACAGTGGTACCTTGGGTTACAGACGCTTTAGGTTACAGATACTTCAGGTTACAGACTCCGCTAACCCAGAAATAGTACCTCGAGTTAAGAACTTTGCTTCAGGATGAGAACAGAAATCGTGCAGCAGCGGTGTGGCAGCAGCGGGAGGCCCCATTAGCGAAAGCACGCCTCAGGTTAAGAACGGTTTTGGGTTAAGAACGGACCTCCGGAACAAATTAAGTTTGTAACCCGAGGTACCACTGTATTAGAGAGTGCTGTGACCAGAGAATATGATGCTTCTTACAGCAAATATATAAAAAACTAAGTACTAGCTTTATTACAAATAAAAGAAGCCCATATTCCCAACCATTGATTGGCTATTATAACTTTGTTCCCTTGAAAACATTATTTTATAATCATAAGAGCACAAAGATTCAGCATTTTCCTACCACTTGTGTTTCTTGTGTTCTCACTGAATCCATCTGAGGATTTTTCTTTATGCTTTGCCTTTCCAAAGAATTCTTGGTAGTAACTTCATCTGGATGCAATGTACCTGAAAAACAAAGAGCAGATAAAGCAGGCAGCAAGCAGAGTTGGTGCAGAATGCTAAATATTACCATAAACATGTCTTTCCTGTTCACATGCCATATATATACAGTATTAGGGTCAAGAAAAACAGGTCCATTATTGTGAAAAGCTGTTTGATTATTCTGTTAAATATCAAAGAAATTTACCTATCAGAATAATCATACGGTTTATTTACAGGGAAACAAAATGGCTGCAAGGAAAACTGGGTTTAGAAAATATCAATAATTTCACACACATATCCCTGATATTTCAGGACCTGTGTATAAATTCCACTGTATAAAACAAATCAGCACACTGTTTTTAGAAGGAAATTGTATTGACCTTCCAATGCTACAAAAGGTGGCTTTCTCACATGGAAAGTTCTTCCATGAAGTAAAAAAGCATGAACACTGTGATCCACATGTATACAAAATGATGACCCAAACACTGTTTTCATGATTTTTCTTCAACAGAAGTAAAGCTCTCTTTTAGGAAATTTATCATATTTTAAGCAGATCTGTCAACATGTTTCTCTTACTGTCTTGTCCAATGGTAATGTGGTAGGAAGTCTGAGTATTTTTATCACAACTGGATGATTTCAGAGAAGATACAGATAACTTTCCATGAACTTCAGGTGCATCTTCATGTTGTTTGTCCATGTCTTCACATTTTTTCTTCAATACTCTGATCTCCTCTTCCAAGGATTGAACATAGTCTGCAAAAAATAAAGACAACTATCTCAGCCAGGTACTTTGCAGGTGTGAATAAAGTATTCAAAGGCTCATTGTGTGTGCAAATAAGAATTACTTTCCCCAAGGAATGCCTAATGGTAGGGCCAGCCCTGGCTAGTATATAGCAGCTGCATCATTCCAAGGGGAAGGACAGGGCATACTCCAAAGAAAGCCTGCACTATATCAGCAGGTGGTCCCTCTTAATTATTCTACCAGTTCACCAACTTGGTACATGTATCCGGCTTCCCATCCATTCAAAGTCTTGAAGCTATGGGAACCAATGCTGGCCTGGCTTTTGGTGGTCATGATTAAGCTAGTGTAATTTAAGTTTGATACTGTTTTTAATATTTAGGCAGCCTTTAAATAAAGTGCCTGATGTGGGATTACAGCAAAGCAAGATCAATCTTGCTGTCTCTTTCAGTTTACACAGTTGCAAATGTGTAATACTGTGCAAGATGTGTAATTGTTTGTGCAAGAACTGAAAGCCATTTTATCAAATGATTTTCACTTTCCCCACTTTTTTTATAACTATAGGATTTATTCTCATAGGAATGTTTTGCTGTAACTATACTGTCTCAGTAAAACATTAGTTTTGGCTGTGCTGATCCTGCCCTCAAAATGTAACTGCAATGATCCCCATTTGTTCAAATGTAGCTTTGATTTTTATCTATCATATGATCATGGTAACTTTTTGCTATGGATTGAAGATCTTTGAGAATGCCTTGTATGTTTCATCAGCGGAAATGTATGAGACAACTGAAATATGAATATAAACATTTATGTTAAGAAGATGATGAGTGCTAGGAGAAGGGAAGCGCTTGTTAAAAGAAAAGTATAGAAATGGGCATATACACTCTGCAGTTAATATTTAACCCAATCAACATTACCAGCAGTACAAGAAACTACAGTCGCATCAGCCTTACCAGCATCTTGTGCTTCCATTTTGCTTTGGTCAGATGAAAGTGCCTGAATATTAAGGGTCTCCATTTCTCTCCTCATTTCTGCAATAACAGATCGCAAGGTACTGTTTTGCTCTTGTAACCTCTTCATATCAGCAGAAGGAAAACCTAGCTCAGTGGTTCCTACAGTATCCTGCATGGTAACCAAACAATTAAAGAAACAAACAAGAATTACACCCTGAAAGGACTCAAGCAAGCAAGTAAAATGCACCAAGAAAGCATAGTATCTAAAAGAAAAATAATTATAATAGTCTGCCATGTGCACAGTAGAAAAAGGACCAATGCTGCAAAGTATGTATGATGAATTGTACTGCTCTAAGACTTGTGAAGCTGCATTAATGATATGAATGACAACTTGAATATGCTACATGACAGCAGCCCCACAGGTTCAGGGTAATATATTGGTTTGGATCCCAAGAGGTGCTGGTGGAATGCAGTTGGCAGAAGGCGTGTGCTTAGATAATCTTCTGTCTGACTGTCATCCCCCTTGATATGCTGTGCTATGAATGAATGATTTGAGATTGACCGGCTCAACAGAAGAGGTCCTCTGCCTCCCTATCTAGAAACCTGTGACCTGCCCTGGTGGTTCAAATACACTTTTGTGCTGGTACTGAGCAAGATAACATTCTTGAGGTCTATCTCTTGGGCAAAGTATTTGATAGCAAGGTGAGCTGACCACAACTCCAACCAATTTATGTTGTATAGACAGGTTCTCATCTTGTGGAGCTCATACATATTTCACCAACAACGACCTTTTTCACGCACAATAGCAAAGAGATTTTGCAGGACACTGTTTTGAATGTTGATGATAGCTGGATAAACATGTCAGAGAGCAGGCCCCAAAGTGTGTTTTGTTCCCAACCCTACCAATGCCCTTTGAGACCATTTAACATGCTGAGTATGTGCAATATGACTACCATATGTCACCACAACACAACACAACACCACAATGTTGCTCTTCCTGAGCAACATTAAAAACAAAGTAGAAAATATAATCTGATATACAATTATTAAAGTGTAAAACCATTGATGATATAATTATATCAAACAGAGCCACCCTTACTGTGCCTGCAAAGAAAAAAATGTTTTAAGGTGATGCCTGAACAAAATTGTGTGGAAGACAGCTGGATCCGAATAGGGAAGAAGTTCCTGTATTATGAAATCATTCAATCGGACTACCTTTTCGAACACTCCAGATTTACAGGATGGATATTTGTATTTTGAACAGGTACCAACCACTAGAGTGCAGCAAATACATCTCTATCATCATTCAACATTCAAAATAGTCTTTCACAATACAGTACCACTTAGCTACTGTGTGTGAAAAAGGTCATTATCAGTGAAAGCCATATGATCACTGAAAGATCAGAGCCTATCCACCTAGAAATAGTATGACATTTCTCAGTCATTCATATGCCAAGACAGATTTAAAACTGGTGTAGGGATTGATATTACAGATGGCAATCATGGCAAAAACAGAGCACAGCACTGAGGATTTAAACAGGCTTTGGTCACTAGCTCTAGCTCACTGGCACTGCTGTACTTAGCATGAGCAAGAACTGGGAAATGAGCAAACCTCCAAGATGAACAGCAAAGCTGACAGCAACTTGAAGTCAAACAGCTGCTGCAAGAAATAAGAATCCCCGTGGCGGGGTGCGCTCCTGTTGTTCGGTCCCAGCGCCTGCCAACCTAGCAGTTCGAAAGCACTCCTGGGTGCAAGTTGATAAATAGGGACCGCTTACTAGCGGGAAGGTAAACGGTGTTCTGTGTGCTGCCCTGGCTTGCCAGAGCAGCGATGTCACGCTGGCCACGTGACCCGGAAGTGTCTCCGGACAGCGCTGGCCCCCGGCCTCTTGAGTGAGATGGGCGCACAACCCTAGAGTCTGTCAAGACTGGCCCGTACGGGCAGGGGTACCTTTACCTTTACCTTTACCTTACTTACTGAAAGGCAAGAAATGAGGGGCCCAAGCAGGCCTCCTTCAGGAGGGCATGGCACAGTTTTGGGTGTTGTGACTGGAAAGGCCCTGTCTTCAGTGCTCAGCCACCATACTTCAGTTGGCAGGGAAACACTGAGCATAGCTTCAGAATGAGGGTGATTTCAGTGCATAAACGGGCTCATGTGGCTGGAGGCAATTTGTCAGATAGTCTAGTCTCAGAAGGTTTAGGGCTTTAATGGCTAATAACAACAGCTTGAATTGGGATCAAAAGGGAGTCCCAGCCACTTGTACATCTGCCTTTCTGGATTTACGGTAGTTTCAGCTTGTTCAGTCACATCCAGCCCGTTCCAATCTCATACACTTGTATAGAACTTCCATCCTGCCCCTTAGGATCAGATGGATAAGAGAAAGAGTACTTTTTGTTATCAGGATCCAATCACACGAGTACAATTCACACAGGGGCATATCACGATAATGCTAAATCACTGCTCATATTTCATAGATGAATGTGCATATATTTTGATGACTGTATAAATTCAGGTGACCATAATTTTTATTCAGTAAATATGTGTCTGGTATTCACTAAGTGTATAAGGGCCTTTAAATGGGTGTTCTCAAGGTGTCCTGCTGAACCAAAGTGAATTACAGAGTTATTTGATATAGATACAAATGACTAGCCCTTTATTACAGAATCATGTCGGAGTCAAATATGCTACAAAAATAGGTTGGCAAGCTGTCAAACCACCAAGAAGAAAACATAATATAGCTTTTAGGCATTCATTAGACCTCTGCACACGACAATGAGGAATCTGTATTACTCATGGAAATGCATTTGTTCTTCTACCAGTTTTGACCTACAACACTTGCTTGTTTTCCTTTTCCTTTCCTTTATCCTTTTGTATCAGGGGTTGGACTAGATGATCCTCAAGGTCCCTTCCAACTCTACAATTCTATGATTCTATGTCTATTACATTGTAAGTCTGTGGACAGGAAACATTTTTGTTTTTTAATCTTTGTACAGCACTAGAAAACTGTAGGCATAAAACTACCTATGAATTTCTATATTTGTTGTTTTTTTTAACATGGAACTCATGCTTGAAAATTTTGTAGCCAGAGACACTATGCATGGGGGAATTTAGGCTACATTCTAAGTTCAACCAGCAAATGTATTCACATTATTTTCTGGTGTTCTTTTGTTGTAGTTAGTATAACACACCATTGTCTACTTAGTCATACTGCTAGGGCAATTCATGACTGCTTACATTTGTCTTCCTACCAACATAGTAAGCAGTAATGGAACTGTTACTCCTCCCCAAAAATAAATAAATGTTAACACCTGCATTGCTTTCTTATTTGGCCAGAAGTCATTTCCCCAAGAATGTTTTCATATTATACTTTTATATTTCATCTGCTCATTCTGGACCATGAAATAATCCCTCTAGCCCTTCTAAAATATATGTATTATGCTATCCAGACACTGGCCAGATAAAAAAGAATGCTAATTCAGTAGTTAACACCAAGCACAGCAGATTGGAGGGCTGGGGTATTTTTTACTATAATGTGCATGTGCAGCCAAGCTTTCCTGCTTTGCTCCTACCTTGGCTGAATGGGAAAACAAACCATGGGGTGACTGTTTTAGGGTTACATTCAAAACAAAGCCTATGGTTTGCTTATGATCAGGAAGTCAAGGGGTGGAGGAATACTTTTCCCTCTTCAAATCAGAGTTTGTTTGGAAAGAAACAAACCATCAGTGCTGGTTCAGATGTAACCCTAATCCAGCTGTTCTGTGGCTTCGTCCCCCACTCAACTGCTCATCCACATTGTGATTTTTTTTAAAAAAAACTTATATAGACTGAGTTAGTACAACATGTGAATGTGGCCATTGTGTACTGTTTCATACAGCAGTGTAAGTATACTTTCTTTTCTAGGCAATTCCTCAAAAAAAATTATAAAGTTTATTTTGGATTAAGGAAGATACACCCAGGAAGTTGATGAATGGAAGATGAAGGGTCCTTTGTGAGGGCAGAGCAGAGAAGATCTCCCAGGGTGGGAGGCTGGGGAAAGAGGGGGAAGCTGCCAGGTGAGAGATGGGAGCGTTCATCCTTCTGTGTGTGGAATAAGGCTTAATATATAATTGTGATAGAGGGTGTTGTATCCATTATTTTCTCTCCCTTTCCGTCCTTCTTTTCTATTCTCTCTTTACTCTTTTTTATCTGTTTTCTATAGATTAGTTTGGCTTTTATTGTATTTTATGTTGAAAACTTTCAATAAAACTTGATTGAAAAATAAGCAATGTTGGAAATGTAAAGAAAAGGAGGGGGATTTTTATCACATGTGGTGGACTTGTAGTACGGTAAAAGCTTCCTGGGAAATTATATATAATGAGTTAAAAATGTTTAAAAGTCCATTTGTGAAAAACCAAAGGCATTTCTGTTAGGTATAGTAGGGAATGAGATCCCAAAGGAGATATAAAACTGTTTATGTATGCGACAACAGCAGCAAGAACTCTTTTAGCCCCAAAATGGAAGCAACAGGAAATTCTATCGCTAGAAGACTGGCAGATGAAGATGATGCACTATGCAGAATTGGCAAGGCTAACCGAGAAAATCCGAAACCAGCGAGATGAAGCTTTCCAAAAAGACTGGAGTAAATTTGTACAATATCTGAAGGACAATTGTAAACAATTAACAACAGTAGCAGGCTTGTTGTAAGAAAACTTGCAAGGTTAAGGATTTGTACCTTTTTATATTTATTTTAAAAATTGTGATTAACAGAAGGAGTGAAACGTAAATGGGAAAATGTATAAATGCTATGAAGTAATAATGAATTATGGAAACCATGAGACGGAAGGGAGGGAAGTCGAAGCTCGATTGAGCAAATATGTAATGAGTATAATAAGGATTTGTTTAAATGTGATAAAATGGAAACTTAATAAATATAAAAAAGAAAAGAAAAAGAAAGTTAATAATCTTTTGGATCTGCTCGCGTAGACTCCTCAACATGTTTCCTACATACCACTCCAAAATAGAAAGCATCCCCTGATAACTGACTGTAGCACTATCCACTACATTATTTAAGGAGGAAGCTCTGCAGAGAGATTTCAGGCCACTTTCTATTTTGGTTGTACATAAACGGCACTAGAGCCAGTTACTCACACACTACAATTTTCAAGGGCAGAGGGTAGCAAGAATGACTCTGCAAATAATAAAAAAGCTACTCTCCTTCAGCTTATGTCAGGAAATGCAAAGCCTTTCAAAAGCAACCACAACACCAAATACATGCAAGATTAAAAGCAGGAGATGCCAAAAATTAGCAATAATCTAGCTCTGCAATCACATTTTCAGAAATTGCTGAACAATTGCTTAAATTAACGTTAAACTGCAATTGCTTCTCTAACCATGCAAAATAATAAATCTACTAGAAAAAAAATCCATCTTGAATTCATCCTTATTCAGAACAAGAGGCTACAAAACCTCCCCCTTTTAATGCTTTGCTTAGACCGTAAGGGCACCAGGACTTCCTGTCCACTTTGCATTGTCTTATAAAAATTCTCTCAAGGCTGCATCCAATGCTGCACAATTCCCACATTGGAAGTACTCCTGCGGAGGAAACAGTGCACAATCATTCTTTTAAGTTAGCAGCTGTGGAGAGTGTGTGCTTTATTGCATGTACATTGGAAAGCCATGTCTCGTCATGACTTTCCAATGTCTGCAGATGAAGTGAAATGCAAATATGTGGATATATAACATATGGCCAGTGCTCCGTTAGGACAAATTACCGTATTTTTCGCTCTATAACACGCACCTGACCATAACACGCACATCATTTTTAGAGGAGGAAAACAAGGAAAAAAATTCTGAATGAAACAGTGGATGTATCATTTTTGTGCTTCATGCTGTGGCCACAGACATGTGATCTGATGGTGAATTTGGGGTAGCTCAATGCAAAGATCCTGAGGATCCATGTGGATCCATGCTTTTTAACCACATTTTTGCACCATTGCAGCCCCAGGCAACAGTGGGTGTGTGATTTTTGGGGGGCAGGCTGCTATGTGATCTGATGGTGAATTTGGGGTGGCCCAATGCAAAGATCCTGAGGATCCATGTGGATCCATGCTTTTTAACCACGTTTTTGCACCATTGCAGCCCCAGGCAACAGTGGGTGTGTGATTTTTGGGGGGCAGGCTGCTATGTGATCTGATGGTGAATTTGGGGTGGCCCAATGCAAAGATCCTGAGGATCCATGTGGATCCATGCTTTGTAACTACATTTTAAGTGGGGAGTGAAGGAAAAACACAGAAGGGACAAGAGAGCGATGTGCAGAGAAGCAGCTGACTAAGAAAGCAGGAGAGGGATTTAACGGGAGGTAGGAAAAAAAGGCAAAAGTTTCCACAAACCGAAGCCCGCTTTCTCTCTCCTCCTGCATGTTTTCTGGCTGCCTGCGAGGAGCACGGAGAGGAATTAAAAGGAAAGACCTCTGCTTTCCCCTCTGCTTGCCTGGAGGGGAGGGGATTTGCCTGCTCTTTGTTCCGTTTGAGCAAACACAGCAACGAAACAGAGGAGGGTGGGCAGTAAGACCCTGAGGCAGAATGCAGGAAAGCAACCACTTCCTCTTTTCAGGTTTCCCTTCTCCGACACAACGCGCTTTGATTTTTGCTGATTTTTGTTCCTGCGCTCCCCTAATCGGCTCCAGGGATCCCCCCCCCCCCACATTCGCTCCATAACACGCACAGACATTTCCCCTTCCTTTTTAGGAGAAAAAATCTGCGTGTAATAGAGAGAAAAATACGGTAAGCACTGACCCACCAATATATCCGCTATCCACCAGCCCCTACCTGCTTGATTTCCTACTTACAACTGTCCAGGGGGTAGCACTGTCTATTAGCTTCTTCCTCCTTAACCCAAGTTTTGCCCTTGTAGAACTCAGCAGAGAGGAGGATGAAGAGAAAACTAGAAATAGCTGGCTCCTCCTGTCACTGGCTATTGCTGCTCTCCCTGCCTTCTGCTCTATGAGTCCCAATTGGCACCAGCCACCACTGCGTGTGACATGAAAGCTGCATGCCAACCCCATGTGGAAATGATTTCACTGTATTTTGTCACTGTTGAGGTTGTTCTCATATCCAAAGGGTCAAAAAAAAAAACTGTGTGCCCTTGATCACAAAACCTAAATAAAACCTAAATTTAAAAAATGGCTTCTCTCACAGATCTAGCCCTGACCATAAAGTGAGTTGTTTTAGGATTAGTTCAGTTTAAGGAACAGCAATTAAGTAATTTTAACCTGTTTCACTCCTTTTGGCGTGTGACCATGCTTTCGAAGTTCCTGAACGGCTTGGTCCCTCTCAAGTGTTACAGCAGAAAGGACCATTTCCATTTCATGCAATTTCTGTTCCTTCTCCTGTAGTTCAGCAGTAACCTGCAAAAAAAAAATGATGGCAACTTGAGAAGACGTTCTTAGAAAAGAACACTCCCCTAGCTTCTAGTACCTTCAATATTATTTTATCGCCATCAGACAACATACTATGTTTAATCTCCCTTGTCCTTTGAATTAAACTCAATCCAGAATGACCATCTACATCGTGAATGGAAAGTATTGTGGAAGAGCTTTCAAAAAATGAAAGAACATGCCAATCAGTAAACAATTCACTTCCATTTATCCAAGATAAAATTTGGCAATGGGCTATTCATCAAGATGTATTCCTTATAGAGGCAGTGAGGAATCTCTGGTCCACAGGCCCAATTAGGCCCACCCCATTTGTCCCACAAGCCACATTCACATTCCAAGCACTTGCCAATCATATATGATGTCAGGGTCAGGAGCGTCCTACACGTGAGTAGGAACCTGGCAGAGACACATGCCCAGCTGGCATGTTCTCTCCCTCCTGGTCTGTCGTTTGGGAGACTCAAAAGCTTTCTCCAGCCCGAACATCACAGAGACTTATACCAAGAGGCACCAGCACACTTTAGGACTAGCAGAGTGTTGGCAGTTCGCGTGACAGACTCAGTAGCGCAGCATTTTGGCTAGACTACGTTTATTTACATATATACACTTGGAGCATTGCAACTCAGCTTCTTTCTCTCCAGCATCAGTCAGCAAATAGAAAGAACAAAGGAACAAACGTCCTACATCATGGAACACAGTAATACAAACATCCTGTCTCCGTCACTTCCCACTATGTGGAATGAAAACATACACCGTCATGTGATAAAAACAATCCCATGACTGCAAGCACAGGAAAAGAATCCTAACAGTCAGGTGTGGGCCTTAGTGATCAGGCAGGGATATAACGAATCAGGCAGCCTTTCAGCTATCCAGGATCCAAGTTGTTAAGAGCCTTGTAAATTAATCTTAGAACTCTGAACCTGGTCCAGCAAGGTATGGGCAGCCAGTGCAAGCTTTTGAGCACTGGAGTTATGTGCTGGCAGCTGACTGTCCACATCAACAGTCCAGCACTTTGCACCAGCTGGAGCCTCTGAACTGGGCCCAAGGGCAGCCCCACATAGGTTTGCCTTGCCACCTGCAAACTGCATCCAATAAAGTTGTAGCTTAGTTTTTCCATCCTGTGTTGTATCTTATGTTGCTCCTTCTTTCCTCCTCACCTAGCTCCACTCTCACCTGCAAGCAGAAATAATCCTCATGCAAAGAACAAGCTAGTACTATATTGAGATCAGCTTGGTGCTATTTATCTAAGTTTTAAAAACTGAACCACTTTCGTGCATTATCTGGGTCAGCACAGACTGAATATGTTACAGGAAGAGAGTGCCAACTCCTTGGGTATGGTGGAACCCCTCAAATATTTGCTAGAAGCACAAAAGAATGACAAGTCCAAAGGTATAAAATCTCCCCTCATGAAATATGCCTCTGCTAATGCTCTGTGCTAAGCTGCTAAGCAAATGTGACGCAGTTCTGACCTGGTCCCTAGCTGTTGACAGGCTCTGTATTAGAGCCTCTGATTTCTGATATTGATTCCTTTCAGCATTCTCGTAACGCCGCTGCCAGTCCAGGACTATTTGCACTTTAGCCCTTTCCAGAATCTCTTCTCTCTCAGCTGCTAATGAGAGCTGCTGTTTATACCTAAGACAGGGAGAAACGAAGAGAAAATTTTAAAAAAATAATAATAATGGGGGGGGGATGAAGTTAACATTTATATTTTAATGTCACAAAATATTCAACAATTTTAACCCTTTACAACTGAGGTCTGCAGCATATAAGGCAAGAACCCCAGTCCATCAGCAGCCAGATACAGCAAAGTGTGAGATCACCACTAGACAGAAGTTCCACTGTCTATGGAATGCTCTTCCTAAAGAGGGTTGCCTGGCATTTACCATACATAAACATATTTTTGGCACCAAAAACCTTTATTTTTCTTTCAGGTCTTTAGTTGTTAACATTTCTAGTTCTGCTGTTATGGAATTTTTTGGGCTAATTAATTTTTACTGGTGACTACACTTACATTGTTGGGGGTGGTGGGTTTGATTATTGTGCGTTAACTTGTAGTGGTCCAGCTGAGTATCTAATGTTTTATATTTTTTATATTTATTCTACTGGCCTGGTATGTATAGCACCCTAAGTTAAATTGTTGCTTAGTGAGAAGATGTGATCTCCTGGAGGGGATGTGGCTGGTCTGGAGAGAGTTCAGTCATGATCCCAGGTTTAGACACCATGCTAAGCCAAACATGCTTACATGTTTACACTAAGTCTAAGCTGGCTTAGCATGATTTGCAAACCAGGTCACTGTTACTGAACTGTTTAAGTCTCTTTGAAACTCTGGTGTAAAGCGATGAATAAATCTAATAAATAAAAGAACAAATAATACTAATATTGTACTAATACCAGTGCTGTACTAATACTACTAGTAGTAAATGGCTGAGTATGAATTTGAACCTAATTTCCCCCAGTACTAGACTTACACCTTGACCTCTATATCACACTGATTTTCTGGATCACTTAATCACTGGATGATCTTAATACTCATGTGACCACCCATTTTAATATCAGGGTGGTTAGCAGACCAATTGCTGCTTGCCCAAAGCCATAGCACATCAGTGAGTATGCTTGCCTTCATGTCAACCTGCATGCTCAGCTCTTGCTTTCTTCTGTCTTAAAGCCTACTGGCTCTCTAAGGCAGAAAAATGTCAGGGAGCTAAAAGCACTGCAAGACATGCCATGAGTCAGCCCCTGCCCCCTCTCCCCTGAGTTGTCTGTGGGCAGAGAGCCAGAAGTCACCAATATTATGTCAGACAGTGCACCTGCCTCTCTTTTTCCCTTCTGCCTTGAAAGGTCAGCAGACCTTAAGATAGACGGTCAGTACCATTCGCACAGCCTCATATGGAGTTTAGTTTGCCCTGGGTTTTCCTTCTGTGAGTGAAGGGCAAACACAAGGATGAACCTATATGATCCCCTCCCATGGCAAAGTGACAGCAGAGAATCAGAAGCAAGACCATCCATCTTATTGATGTGCGAATCATCCACAGCATTACGGGCACATGCCTGCCCCAGGTCCTTTATCTGTCTTCAGACCACAAGGTCTCTCTCAGTTGAGGCTGGACCATCTAGCGTTAAAAGCAGGTTTTGCTCCAAAATAAACAGTATCCCCTTAAAGCAAGTGGTAGTGCAACGCTTCCTGACAAGACCTTTCTCAGACCTAGGAGGAATTAACAACTGTAGGGGAGTGGTAAACATCTTTTTCCTGGACCAAGTACTCAAATGAGTTGTGGCTGCCTTTGGTTGATACTGATTTTCTAGATCCATTTCAACTGAGATTTAGGCCTGGTTTTGGCGCTGGCATTGCCTTGGTTGCTTGTGGAATGACCTCTATCAGGAGAGAGATGGGAGAGTATGAATACCCAGTAAATTCACCTGGATCTAACAGGGGCTCTCGGGTTATCAATACCTTCAACCATGATCATTCTGGAACTTCCATCTGTATTGGACATGGGCAGTACTGCATCTGTTCCTGCCTAGATGGTCATTTCCAGAAAACATTGCTGGGCCCTGTGGCAGTCACATTTCAGGATCCCACAAAGTCTCATGCTTCCCCTCATTCTGTTTAACATCTACATGAAATAGCTAAATAAGGTCATTCAGGGTTTTTAAGTTTATTATAATCAACATACAGATGACATGCAATTCTTGTATCCTTTTTCATCAAAACCAGGTGAGGTTGTGGATGCATTAGATCAGTGACTAGTTGACGTAATGGACTGGACATGGGTTAACAAACTGAAGCTCAGCAAGAGAGGTACTGTTAGTAGGCAGTTGATCTGTCCAAATGACTGGTGTTCAGCCTGTTCTGGAGAGTGTTGCACTCTCCATAAGGATCAAATTCTCTAAAGCAGGAATGGGGAATCTCTGGCCTGCGGGCCAAATTGTGGCTGGGTGTACACCAAGATCGATCACGAAGAAAGATCCTGAGAAAACACTGGTTTAACCAGCTCACAAAGTCACTCACCTTTCAATATCTTGCAGTATGCTAGACAGTTGTGCTCTTAGCTTCACCTCTTCTTGTTGCAGTGCTTGAATCTGAAGGTCTTTTGAAACTGTCTCCCTGGATATCTGAGCTACTTGAGAATCCCAGCTTTTTTTTAAAGCCTCCAGCTCTTGTTGAAGTCTGTGAAAATATATAGAGAACACAAGTTTGATTACATTAATGTGGTTTTCCATTTTAAGCAAAACAACAAGCAAAAGGGACGGAGGGACTGGCAAACAGTAGTTCAGCCTCATTTATGCAAGTAGCCTAAGGGACATTCCAAACACCAAAGGATAACAGACGTCTCAGTAAAGTGAAATTGATATAGCATTACAGTAATATAGGAAAAGATAAATAATGCAGGATTGGTGTGGATACATATAAATTTAAGATAACCAAGGTAATGGGTTCCAGTGTATTACATATGCAAACAGGAGGAGGAAGCACTTGCCGTCCAAGTGTATTTTTCAGGCAAAGGCTGTTATATGTTCTACAAGCGTCTTTTATAATCAATAATTGGTTCCCATGCACAAAATGTAACCAACTAATTGGTTCCTGATTTCTTCTGGTTTAAATGAATCTGCAATTTCAGATGTTTCATCATGTTAAGTTGTTTTTCATCAGACACATTTTAGATAAGGAAGAAGAGAGCAAATCCCTGGGACAGTAGGAAAACACTGTTCTTCCTTCTACTCATACAATCTTCAGTATGTATTCAGATAAGTATTGCTTCTTAGAATATAATGTGTTTCATTCAAGGAGATACAATAAGCAGCCTGTGTGTATGGGTTCCCAATGGCAAAAGATCCAAACCAATCAAAGTAAGACTCCAATCCTGATTTTTTTCATATTCTTTAAGAACAAAAGCTTTAATATATTAGGACTAGGTTGCCTAGAGTGAGGCAAATTCATGGAGGATAAAGTTAGCACTAGCTACTTGTCATGATGGCTATATACTACAGATTCAGAGGCACTATGAGGCACTATGTAGAGCAGTGTTTCCCAACCGGTGTTCCGCGGCACACTAGTGTGCCGCGAGGCGTTGCCTGCTGTGCCGTGGGAGGGAGGCGGGCGAGTCGGGCGGCAAGAGGCTAGGAAGCAAATGGATTGCGAAGTCTGCCAGGTTCAGATTCGGGTCTCGGCTGTTTCCGGCAAGTGCAGATTCGGGTCTCGGCTGTTTTCGGCAAGTGCAGATTCCGGACCCGGCTGTTTCCGCCGGCCCAACTCGCCGATCCCGCGCCGTACGTAAGAATTCTCGAGGAAAGGCTCAGGCGCATTCCTCCTCGGAGAGAGCGGCCGTTGGCGTCCAAGATGGCGGCTGTGCTGGCTGAGGGGAGCGCGGGCGGCGCCGAGTCCGAGGCAGCGGCTGTTCCGCCCATGGCGGGGCTGGAGATGGTCCAGCAGGGAGCCGAAGCCCGGGTCTACCGGGGCCTCTTCCTAGGCCGGCCAACTGTGGCGAAGCACCGCTTCCCGAAACGTTACCGGCACCCGCTGTTGGAGGAGCGCCTGAGCCGCAGGCGGACGGCACAGGAGGCCCGCTCGCTGCTTCGCTGCCGGCGGGCAGGTGGGCGCGCCTCGAGACTGGACTGCGCGGGGCAGGGGCGCGGGCTGGGATTCCATCTCCTTTAAATTGCATGGCCGGCCCACCTCTTTGCAAGGAGTGCGGTTGGGAATTGCAAGCAAAGCAGCCACGCAGCTCGATTCCAGTCGTTAGTGACCGAAACTAATTCCCCCCCCCCCCCCGCTATAGGCAAGGAAGCTGAAGACTGGTTATGGAAGGCGGTGGGCTAAGCCACAGGTGTTCTGGTTTGCGAACATTTTTCAGAAGCCAAACGTGCTCCATTTTGCGTGCCATGCTTCTGTTTTGCGGTCTGTCTGCTTTTGCTGTTTATTTTGCATTTTTGTCTTTCTGACTTTTTTGTTTTGTTTTTGTGACTGATTGATTGACTGATTGTGTGACTGCAGTACATTGTTTATTGCTTTCATTTTATGGATCAATGGTCTTTATCAATAGTAAAATTCATGTTAAATTGCTGTTTTAGGGGTTGTTTTTAAATGTCTGGAATGGATTAATCCATTTTGCATTACTTTCAGCCAAACAGGCCCAGGTTGCGCACTGAATAAAGTATTTTATAATTTTTCATATTTCTGTTTACTTACTATTTCATAATAAAGTAATTATAAAATACTATCTTTGTGTTTATTTGATTCCTATTAAAGAGAGTTACTTTATATATAGTCAATATAGGCACAGAGTTAATTTTTTAAACGTTTTCTAATGGTGGTGTGCCTCAAGATTTTTTTCATGAAACAAGTGTGCCTTTGCCCAAAAAAGGTTGGGAAACACTGATGTAGAGTTCCCAATAGGCATTTGGTTGGCCTGTGCAGAAAAAGAATGCTGGAGAAGACAGGCCTATAAAATGTTCCAGTAGGGCTCTTCTTAAGTTCTTATGTTGTTCTTAATAAAAAGTCTGGATAATAGAAATGTGAAAGATGTTTTTTTAAAAAATCAAAAGTGTTATTGAAACAGTAAATTACCAACACTCATTCTCATAATACAGATATTTTATTCATCCTATGAAAATAATAAACAATAAGCTTAAGACGAACAAAATAAAATGTGTCCTTACATAATAAAAATATAATCTATGGAATTCACTGTCTCAATATGCACGCTGTTCATTGGGTTATTATTTTAAAAAATCAGACAGTTATACATCTATCAATAGCATTGATAGATGCATAACTGTCTGATTTAAAAAGCTACTTTATTCCACTGCATCACGGATTAATAGTAAGAGACAGTAGGTATCACTACCTCTTCTGCACATACAGAATGTAATAAGTGAATTGCATTTTCAAATGTTAGGTTGATTTACAGGCTTTGAAGTAACCATTTATACAAACCACATATTCTCCTTACCAGTCAGCTAATACCTTCCATCTAACTGGTGAGTGCTGCCTCTTCAGAACATTCAGAATGTTCTGTTGTAGGGAACAGGATTTGGTTTCTCTCCGAACTATAATTAGCACGACCACACAGGGCACCGTGCTTTCGAAAAGTATTGGCCTATGTAGAGAATAGACACAAGAGGCCTAGTTCTGCTACTAGTTTAGTGAGTGATCCAGGTTAAATCCCTATACTATTCATAAACAGGAATGCACTCCAGCTTTGTTAGAACATACAGTCCAGAACACCTGATCTCCTGTTCCCCAACTGAAGTCATCTCTCAGGCATAAGTGAATTATGTCTCCAACAGAGACCAATACCAGTAGTTTCGGATGGAGCATGAAATGAACAATTAAAGACCAGCAATGACTATTTTATTTAGTATTTATACACCATTTTTAATTGGCAGAGGTTTGCATTCTGTATTGTGCTTATCCTAGGAAATAGGCTACTCATCCACATTTACAGTGAAGAAATTGCTTGAAATAATAGCTTGTGTGGGTCTGCACCACAAAGTTGCTTCAATTAGCCATTGATGGATCAATCTTCTACTATATACTACTTTTTTAGGGGGAAAAAGTTCTTATGCTTTCAGATTACACAGCATCCTAAAACACTTAATTTAATGAGGGGGAAATACAATTGTGCAATCATTATTTCATAAAATGTCTGGCTCGCACTTCAAGGAAAGACTTCTTAACCAATTGCACTAGTTATCTTTAATTGCACCTGTTATATTGTCTTCTAATATCATTTTAATCTCATTTTGTCTAAGTGTCCCCTCATGTGAAAGCCACTGTGCATTCCTAGTCCTTTTTATATGCCTTGCCTCCTCTGTACTTTTTCTAGTTCTGTATTGCTTTTTAAATAGATGTATGCAAGATTTTGACAGTGCTAATATATATATAGTAAATGCACACACATTTAATTTAATTTATCTAACACTATTGCAAGAGTTCATAATATTTCTATTTTCCTATTAGTTCTGAGCTTTCTGTTTAGCATTATTATCACAGTTGCGCACATAAAGCTAATGTCTCAGTGAAAAACCCACAATGACTTGACATTCCCTAAACACCTCCCAGCTAATGCAGAGTTACAACAGAGTAAAAAAAAGAAGGGAAAAAAAGATTATAGTGCTTTTCTCATGGTTCCATATACAGGGTAATATCCTTAAATAATTCAAGAGTATTGGTGAAATGTAGTTTTCTTTTACCTACCCACTGTATTTAGATGCTATATAAATATTATTCATTTGTTACCAACTCTTCACTGTATCTTTTGGCAGCTCTCCTGGACACAATTAGACTGTTAAATTCTCTTTCCTTCAATGGGATTTAAGGAGCCTGTGTAAAGCTTGCAGCTTTTCAGTGCCAAGTACTAAAAGCAGGCTCCAGTTTCTCCTGTGCATGAGAGCAGGGCACTTTTGTGTATGCATCGAAGAGGGGTTGATATGTATTTATACCCAGCACTAGAGCTGAGAACCTCATGGGGTGACACTCCAGAGGAAACCTTGGCCTTCAAACAGGCTTTTCTAGGGGAGCAAATGGTGGGTTCCTGCTAGAAGGTTTCACTGTCTTGTACTTGGTAAGTTTTAATTGCTTGAGTTGATTTTACTGGCCACTGTTTTATAATAATTTTATGCTATTACCTGATCTGACACCACAAAATCAATGAAAGGTGAGATAGAAAATGTAATTAATAAGTAAGATGGCAGCTGAAACTTCTCCTAAGAATGAGAAAATATTCAAGTGTAGCACTTTGGACCACCCTCCCCAAATTAGATTTGCGACCCTTTAAGCTAGGCATGGCTAAACTGGGCCATCGAGCTGTTTTGGGACTACAATTCCCATCATCCCTGACCACTGGTCCTGTTAGCTAGGGATGATGGGAGTTGTAGTCCCAAAACAGCTGGCGGGCCAAGTTTGGCCATGCCTGCTCTTAAGCTGTAGTTTCTTTCTGGAACTTTTTCCATTTTAAAAGAAATCTGTGATGTGTATAATATCTTTGCTATCTTCTGATACGTTTGGTTGATTTTGATTTTTAAAATATTCACTTACCACATTTGGTGGATCTGAAATGCAACACAAGTGTTTTTATTTTTTGCCAAATCATTTTTATTGATTTTCAGAATTTTACCAAATTGGCCACAAATTAAGACAAATTCAATACAATTACACAATTGTTTTAATCTAGCAGTCTGTTCTAGACAGGGAATTACACTGTGTACAGAGAGTTTCTCCATCCATAACAGATTTCCTATTCAGTGGAGGGACCTGATCTGCATACAAATCTTTTATCACTTGCAGATTGACCTCTCCTTAAATGAAAGGAGTCTCCTGTGCACCTGTACGCTTGAGTGTATATGCAGAACTTGGCCCTTCGGCAAGTGTGTTTAGGACAAGCAGCACTTCTCAGTGTTGCATACCTGGTGGAGCATCAACCAAACTAGTATATAATGATGTACGTACAGGAACAACTGTATAATCTGTTATAATTAGTGGGATATGGACAGTACCCCAAGTCTTCTACCCTAGTATAACCCCAACACATATTCACAGCAAAAGGCAAACATATATACTGACTAATACATCTAATTTTACATTTGACCTTTGTTTCAACAGCATACGAGAAATGCTGTTCTCCGGAGAGAAGATATCACAATTCTTATCACTCAGTAATGAATTGCTACAATGTTACATGTTCTTACAATCCTAAATATAAGCAATTTGTTGCTTGGTAAAATTATAGTGCTCACCTGATAATAAATATACAATACTTTCAGAAATTGTATTCTGAGCCAAAGAACCTGCGGCTTGAAATGTGAACAAATTAACCAAGAGTCCCAGAGAGGCACTGCAACTGACTAAACAATGAATAAGTAAATATTTTCAGTTAATCTCTCTCCGTTAAAGGCCACATTCTGAGTCTATTCTAAGAACTTCTTGATGAGTGCCATTAAATTGAAATCCCAAGACATATCAAAGATATGTACTCGGAGCCCTGTTTCAGCCATGGTACATTATTGTGAGATATTTTCTATGCCATTAATAAATTCTGCCTCAGTGTCAAAAGGAAATGATTTGGCACTGACGCTGTATGGCAAATCCCAGGGATACTCCTATTCAGCCATTCCATCAAGCTACAGCAGAAGGAGTGGAAGGGAAGGCCACATTGGACAACTGGTTTAGTAAAGCAGGAGTACTGCATTAATTGAGAAAGTGACCAATAGCTACAGATTGCAAAAGGAACAAGGCACAAAGCCTGTTCCATAGTGCACCATCCCAACTGGCTGCTGGCTGAAGCAGGCATCCTAAAACACTAATATAAATGTAGTGCATGCACACAAAAAGAAAGATCTTAAATGTCTTCCTTGATTCTTTAGTTTGTATGTGAAGTTTTAGTATACCAGTTTGTTACAGGATGTTGTACCTAACAGTGGCCTCCTTCACATATCACAGTAAACCATTATTAATGGATAACTATGAATACAGTGGTACCTCTGGTTAAGAACTTAATTCGTTCCAGAGGTCTGTTCTTAACCTGAAACCATTCTTAACCTGAAGTACCACTTTAGCTATGGGGCCTCCCTCTGCCGCCCGATTTCTGTTCTCATCCTGAAGCAAAGTTCTTAACCCGAGGTACTACTTCCAGGTTAGCGGAGTCTGTAACCTGAAGCATTTGTAACCTGAAGCGTTTGTAACCTGAGGTACCAGGTTATATATATTTAGGCTTAATGTATTTTGAAAAGCCAGCAAAGGGGAGGTTATGTACCTGCTCTTGAGTAAGCACTAAAGCACACCACTTGCCACAATTCACAGATGGGTGTTGCAATGAACTGCTTGAAATGTCCCTCTTAATACTTGCTTAGCCATCCTGAGAGAAGTGGGAGTGTCAGTAGCTCCTTAAACAAAGTGTTAACTTTTCAGCACTGGAACATGGAAATAAGATGCCTTATCAGGAGTACTGCGAGGAATATACCAGCTGTGCGCACTACATCCTGGGATGTATCATGTACAAAACAAGTGAAACACCATGCTCTAAATAGGTACATTTCATCCAAAAATCAAAATGAGATCCTGTCATTTAACTTCAGATTTAATTACGGGAGAAGCAACATCATGCCTACCTGCAAAAGAGGGTACCTACAAATGCATTGCGTCATCACATGGATTCTGGGGGAAAGAAAGCCCCCTTCTCCCCTACATCCATGTGAGGATATAATCCACTTGTTTGCACTGAAATACACATCTACATGCCTAAAACAGTACAAATAAAGTCTAACTTACTTTTCAATGACAGCCTCTTTCTCTCTCAACTCATCTGTATGCCTCCATTCTGCCTGACGCAGTTCCATTTCCAAAGTTTCCTTATTTATTTGCAGGTCTCGGACCTGATTTTCCCACTTCCGTATCTGCTCAGTATGGGTCTCCTTTATTGAAGCAAGTAATGCATCCTTTTCCCTGGCAAAGTGATCTATAGCTGCGTGCCTTTTAGAAAGAACAAAATTAAATTTAAAAGACAATTTGTTCTTTTGGATTTGTACTTTTTGAGACAATCAATCTACCAAAGTGAATTAAAACTTTTTTAAAAATAGAAATGATCATTCTGTTTTCCTACCGAGTTTATAAAAACTTGTACAAAGGTTAAACAATGTACATTTTTAGAAGCTTCTCAAGTTATTTTACAGACTTGGTAAAAATCCTTCTGTTTAGCTTGTTTTTTCCTACATGATAATTTTGATCTCCAGGTTAACAGGTTCTGGGACACTAAACAGTGCTAATATGATCTAAGGTAGGGATAGGCTACCCCGTGAATAATCCTACTATGCGGCTGAAGATGTCCCAATGAAAAATGGACATTCCACAACTCCATTATGACAAATATTTGCTATCTGAAGGCGATTAAGAACAAAACAGCAGTACCTGCTTTGCATCCCCAACATCTGCAAATAGGGCTCAGAATGTCCCGTCTGAAACCCTGGACAGCCGCAGCTGGTCAGTGTGGACAAAACTGAGCTAGATGGACCAGTGGTCTGACTTGGTATAAGCAGCTTCCTAAGTTTCTAACTGGGACGCGGGTGGCGCTGTGGGTTAAACCACAGAGCCTAGGACTTGCTGATCAGAAGGTTGGTGGTTCGAATCCCCGCGACGGGGTGAGCTCCTGTTGTTCGGTCCCAGCTCCTGCCCACCTAGCAGTCACGTCAAAGTGCAAGTAGATAAATAGGTACTGCTCCAGCGGGAAGGTAAACGGCATTTCCGTGCGCTGCTCTGCTTCGCCAGAAGCGGCTTAGTCATGCTGGCCACATGACCCGGAAGCTGTACGCCGGCTCCCTCGGCCAGTAAATCGAGATGAGCGCCGCAACCCCAGAGTCGGCCACAACTGGACCTCCTGGTCAGGGGTCCCTTTACCTTAAGTTTCTAACTATGTTGGGGGTACAAGGGGCCCTTTTTATCACAAAACACATTGGAAATGCTAAAGTTTAAGAAGTGGTTTCTTTAAATATTTCCAATGCCCTTTAGGAACACCCAAAAACCACCTAATTATATCAATGTGTTTAAAATTGAACTACAGGAGAAAGGACCATAAATTCAGAATACAGTAACCATTTGCCTATTTTTAGGCCCTAAACAAATCAAGATGTTACTGGGTAATGAATGGAGAGGGAGCACAGATAAAAACAAATACTTAATCCACACACTACTTAAGGACTATTTTACATATTACATTCTTAATGCTAACATGCAAAACAACACATCTTTCTTAAAACTTCAATATATTCATGCAGATTACATCACTATCTGAAGACAGAAAGGACAACTTTCAGTTGCACCAAACACCAAAGTTATCTGCAGCAATTGCTTGTTGCCCACTACTTTTTAAAAAAATGACTGCTCTTAATGAGAAAAGTACACAAAGAAGACAATGTCATCTATCCAAAGAACTTACTTTCTCTCAAATGTTTCTTTTTCTTTTTTCCAGCTCAGCTGTACTGAATCGATTTTTCTTTCTAAATCCCGTATCCTGTATTGGCAAATATTGGAGGACAATAAAATAACGCTTTAAAATTAGTTCATTTGTATTGAAGATAAAGTGTTAAGAAAAAGAGAATGATGGATCTAGCATAGCTAGGTGCCCCACTGAATATACTTTCTGTAGTTAAATATAGGATTTGTAGTTTTTAAAGCCTTGAGGTTTTTAATTAAGGTGTTTGTTTTTTTAACCAGCTCTTGTGGTTCATAGATTTTTGTTTCTGGTTGTTTTAATGCGATTGATGGGTTTTGAGTATTTGTAAAACAGTGGTGCCCCACAAGACGAATGCCTCGCAAGACGGAAAACCCGCTAGACGAAAGGGTTTTCCGTTTTGGAGGTGCTTCGCAAAACGAATTTCCTATGGGCTTGCTTCGCAAGACGAAAATGTCTTGCGAGTTCCTGCAGGCCCCCCCCCTTTTTCCCAAGCCGCTAAGCCGCTTATCAGCTGATCCACTAAGCCGCTAAACAGCTGATCCGCTAAGCCGCTAAACAGCTGATCGCTAAACAGCTGATCGCTAAGCTGCTGATCAGCTAAGCCGCTTAACAGCTGATCGCTAAGCCGCTTATCAGCTGATCCGCTAAGCCGCTTAACAGCTGATCCGCTAAGCCGCTAATCAGCTGATCCGCTAAGCCGCTTATCAGCTGATCCGCTAAGCCCGCTAATAGCGCTAATCCGCTAATGGGCTTGCTTCGCAAGATGAAAAAACCGCAAGATGAAGAGAATCACGGAACGGATTCTTTTCGTCTTGCGAGGCACCACTATAGTATTGTGCCCTGCCCTGAGATCTGTTCTGATGAAGGGTGGGTTAGAAACATCTTAAATAAATAAATAAATAAATATGTGAATAACTAAATAGTTTAGCTTATGGCAGGCCTGCATGGTCTACAATCATGTCTGGGAATCATAGCAAGGAATGTCAGCTGTGCTTGAACTGAATGTTTTTGAAGGGATGTGAACATTTAGTTGAGATGCTAGCATTGCAGGGAGTTGAACTAGATGACCTTCCAGGGCCCTTCCAACTACAATTCTATGATTTTGTGATTCCAATAAAAATAAATATCATTCAGTTGAATGCTGTTACATCCCATACTTCTTGTATCCCATGTTGCTATTCTTTTGCAACCTTTCCCCACTGAGCTAGGGAAAGCAGAAAAGGTGGACATATATGCAGGGCAGCCCATTTCCCACCTGGCTCATAAGTTATTATTTTGATTTCAGGTGGGGATGGGGAGTCATTCCTTGCACAGATATAGATATCAGAAACGTAGGGAAATGTGTCGTGCATTTCTCTTCAAGATTTAAATACTACAACTGCTACAAAATAAGTCATGTTACCAGAACAGTCTTTGAGTAGAAAATGACTTGGAGGATGAAAACCAATCTCCTACTGGGGCAGTATTTTGACATAACCCACCAGGGGCACTGACTTGGACTCCAGGTTAAGGGTGCCCAATGGCGTCCACGACATAACATGATGTCATGTTGCGGCGGCAGCACAGCGGCGCTTCCGAGGCTTTGTGGGGTCTCAGAGGAAACGTACGAGGACTCACAAGACCTCCAACGCAACTTCTGGTTTCTGCCGGAAATCGTGTTCCGAGGCTTTGTAGGAACACGGAATGTGAGTGCCCTGGCACCCAGGTCCCTGTAGAACTGGCGCCTATGTAAGCCATTGTTATGTAAACACAGGTGGTTGTATCCAGTGCTACTGTTCTGCAATGGACTTCCCCTCGCACAACAGAACTTCCTCTTCCGTTCCTCTCCCCTGCAGTCCCCCATGCCCCCACAAAATCTACTCTGGATCAGATTTTGGGGGGGGGGGTGTCGAGAGAGGAGAGGAAGTTCCAGTGTATAAGTGGAATGCTGCTTGCATTGCATTGCATTGCATTGCATTGCATTGCATTGCATTGCATACAACCCATGGTTCATTATCTAATTTGACAGAAACTAAAGGAGCAGACAAGACTGGAAACCAGCACTGCAACTTTAAGCTATACTGTAGCAGTGAAGAAAGTATGACATGAGCCACTGATGTGCCAGATGTAACCTCAAGGGCAGCAACAACAAAAATAAACAGATTCCTTTTACAGACATGAAAAAAATGGATTAAGAATATACTGGGAGGCAGAAAGGAATGACGAACTGAAATGAAGTTTTTCTCAATACTCGATGGAATGGTACATTACTGAGCATCTTTCACAGCTGCAAGATCCTTTATTTCCCAATCCCTGCATTTGACTTCTTTCTCCAACTCCAAGTTTCTTGCTTCTGCCATTTTCAAGGATTCTGCCACTTCTGTCCCAGCCTCTTTCAAAGCCTCCAATTCTTTGGTCAACAGCTTCACCTTTCAAAGGAGAACAAAAAGGCACATGGGCTGTGTCTGCATCTCACACAAAGCCAAACCAAGGCTTAGTCAGATTTGGGGAACCTCCAGTCTGCAGGCCAACCCTGGCTCACCACGGTATCAAATTTAGCCCACACAACCATTTAAAAAACAAACACCCACCTGCCAATTGGCTGATGTCACACTGATGACAGCTATTGGCGGGGAGGGACGGTTTGGTTCTGCACTGGCCCTGTGTTTCTGTACCCTAACTGGGAACTGGCACACACAGCCAAAGCAGAAGGATTTAACCCTTGTTCATCAGCTAATGAACAGGGAATAAATCCTGCTAAGTGCAGCTGCGCCCACTTGTTCGCTCAGTTGGAAAAGATACATGCAGCCAAAGCTCAAAGTGGGGCTGTTTGAAAGCCCTTTTGCAAGCAGTTTCACACTAGTCTTTAAACCTCCAGTTTTCAGAAGTTCAAAGAGCAGTACAGGGCTGTTAGCAAAATGGCTTTCAAACATCCCTGCACTGAGCTTTGAAGCCCCAACATACAGACATAGTTAACTGCTCATGAAAGCTGGCACATCCTAATAAAAAAACATGGTTTAAAGTGGGCTTATAACATACAGTTTTGCTAACTATGGTTTTGTACAGTGTCTGAATTGACAGTCAGTAGTTATGGCATTTAACCTCATAATGTTCCATGGGAAAACTGGCCATGAGTTCCACTGATCACTTATTGTCTATACATCACAAAACACGCTAAATAGAAGTAATAGAATGTACATTGTTTGTTTGTTTGTTTGTTTGTTTGTTTTTGCTGTGTACATTTCAAATTTTGAGGGCACATTTACCTTAAGCTCATGAGATAGAACTAAATTGCTCATTTCATCCACTTTCCGTCGAAACTCATGCTCTCTTTTTTTCATTTCTGAATCAAATTCCACTAGCAGTTCCTGAAATGAAGTTGACGAAACAAAGACTGAAGTAATTCTGAAGTGAGAAACAGTGGATGAGGCGGTGGATAAAGGAGTAAGTGGAGGGCAAAGGAGGCATCTGCAATGAGGGTGTCTGGGCAACATGCCCAGTGGCAAGTTTAAATTATTTATTCAAATTATTTCAAATTATTGAAAAGAGTTATAAGAGAAGCCAATGATGAGAAGGATCTTTAACTTTTAATGAACATAAGTATTCAACAAACAAACCTGAAGAAGACGAAACTTTCTGGGACTCCTTAAGGGAACTCATAATGTTCCTTTTGCCATACATTCAAAACATAAGTAAGACAGAGAGAGACTTGTATAAATTAGGGCTGCAAGCATTCAATAATTTAATCTGTAAATTATCAATTAAAAATTTAGTAGATTAGGGGCAATTTTAATGGATGAGGCTGTGAGATGAAAACTCATTTATTTATTGCAGCTTTTTAAATTCCAGTTGTGTGTTTTTAAGTCTTCCTTTTATTATTATTACTATTATGAAAATAAAAAAGAAACAATAAAAAAATAATAAAAGCTCACCTTTTCTCTGGGAGGTAGCTTTTGTTTATTTTTAATTTTTATATCTTCTTCAGTATCTCAAAAATACTTCTATAGATAAATTTGGATTATACCTAGAATGTAATTTATAATCTTAAACCGTCCTGAAATCAACTGATATAGGATATATAAACTTTTTTTAAAAAATAAAGAATCAATTTAAATAATCAATTAAATCAATTGATAGCCCTGTTGGTTGTTACATACAAATCTGGAAGGAAGAGAACCCTGAAATTAGAGAAGTAGGGACTGATGCCGGAGGCCAGGGTGTTTATTTAGCCTTCACAACTGAGTAAAGCTGCTCTTGATTTATAGTTCTGACCTTCTTGAGATTTCAAGGTTGGCAAATTTAGCACAACATTTTGGCTCTACCCCTGTGGAAAGAATTTTACACCATCTCGTTTTACTAGACACAATCTTACCAATTTTCCCAAGGGGAGGCTGCCAATGCGAGAAGATAACCAAAAACATAAATGCCACCTGATACCTAGAATGGGAAAGCAATTTCAGTACTGCTCATTAATCGCACATTACTTTTAATGTCAGACTAGACAGGGGGAACTAGATGCCTGGGGAAAATTAAGTAACTGTAGAGTATAATGAACTCTCATCTGTCTGTAGGAACGGCAACAAAAAATAAAATCTATTTATCTCATTTATTAAACATACTGTACCTGTCTTTGCAAAGCAAGTTCACATTCTACTTCCTGCAGTTTTCTCTCCAGTTGCTGCTTCATATCCCCATATTCCTGAAGATGCTGGTTGATATCAGAGTCCTTAGAACTAAAAATAAAAATCCAGTGACATCACATTTACTATGGCGACAAAAATAATAGTTTTAAAAATAAGCACCCTTCAATAAGAAGTTGTGGACTGAATTAAAACTAAGTTTAATAAGTTATTGTGTTTTGGAAGAACAACGGCAACATGTAGTGTGCACTTGAGCAAATACCAATTTCTATTCACATGCTCTTGATTCAAAATGGCCTCCCCCTAATTGCAAATGTGTCTGTACACATTAATTTGCCTGAAAGAATAAGAGTATGACATAAGCACCGATCTAAGCTATTTACCTATTTAAATAGTATAAGCAAGTATTATGTAATAAAGCGTCTCATATATGCACCACTGAATCCTGCCACAATCCAACAGGTAGCAACAGATCTGATAAGATATCTCATACCTTGAAAAGCAGAAAGATTATAGCCAAGGAAGACCCAGGATCACAATGGCCTACATTGCACGTGAAATTCTCTACATCTACAGTACGTAATGGTTTGAGGCAGCTGCATACAAGACAAAACCAATGCACAATTGCCTCAAGAAAATGGAGTAGTACAGACATTCTGTTTAGAGGGTTTGATTACAATACCCTCTAAAAAGAGATTCATATTTTTTGCGGGATAAGCATTCATTCACGAACCAATGTCCACTCTGTAAGATACACTAAGTGTTAACACCAGTTGCAAAGTCCTTATATACAAACAAAAAAGTGGGTAAACTAGGACAAAAAAGCAATGGGTAAGATCAGGAGTCCATGCTACTGACTGCTCACCCCCCCCCATGTGGAAGGGGAACCATCTTCCAATTTCTTTATGACAGAGGCACAAAGTAGAATCAGCAAGATTGTGGGATAGCTCAGCCGGTAGAGCATGAGACTCTTAATCTCAGAGATGTGGGTTCTAGCCCCACCTTGGGCAAAATATTCCTGCATTGTTGGAGGGTGGACTAGATGACCTGCGTGGTCCCTTCCAACTCTACAATTCCATTATTCTAAGCAGGATTACTACCAGAATGAGGTACAACTGGCTGCTGGCTGAAGCAAGCATCCTAAAACACTAATATGAATGTAGTGCATGCACACAAAAAGAAACCTCTTAAGTGTCTTCCTTGATTCTTTAGTTTGTATGTGAAGTTTTAGTATACCAGTTTGTTACAGGATGTTGTACCTAACAGTGTCCTCCTTCACATGTCACTGTAAACCATTATTAATCGATAACTATGAATATAAAGATCTAGGCCATTTTGCTTCTTCATATATATATTTAGGCTTCATATATTTTGAAAAGGCAGCAGAGTGACTGCATTTCAGAGGGGAGGTTATGTACCTGCTCTTGAGTAAGCACTACAGCACTGTAGGAACTGCAACAAAAAATAAAGACTACTTATCTCATTTATTAAACATACTGTACCTGTCTTTGCAAAGCAAGTTCACATTCTACTGCCTGCATAGTCCCTTCCAACTCTACAATTCCATTATTCCTAGCAGGATTACTACCAGAATTAGGTACAGAGAGAATCAAGGCTTGGATCTAGAAGGCTGAATTTCTGTCATAGCGACACAGCACTGGATCTCTCTTACCTGTGAAGCCGCTCCAACTCTAACTGGTGTTCTTTAAGCTTTTGATGGTATTGGTATTGCAGAGACTCTTGCTTTTTTGTTTCCTTGGCAAGTGTTTGCTGCAGCTTATCCACTTGTATTCTAAGATCACTAACCTCTGCCTCTTTAGCATTTTCAACCATTTTCAACTGTATAAACAAGCGTTCGTAGCGTTCCAGCTCTCTATCTCTCTCCTCTAAGACTCTAAGGTTATAGGTGAAATCTTCCTTTAAACTGTTGAATTTCCTGTGCATTTCTTGAAGCTGCTTTCTGGTTTCATGCAGTGATGTTTTCTGAAAATGGATTTGATGAGCTTGGAGCTCTTTCAGTTCTTTTTCTTTACAAATAAGGAGGTCATTCAACTCTTCCTCTGTATGCGGCATCATTGAACCTGAAAAAGAAAACCATTCATTAGGGCAGAGGAAGGCATTTCTTATGGTGTTGGAGGAGACTCTTGACAGTCCCATGGTCTGCAAGAAGATCAAACCTATCCATTCTTAAGGAAATCAGCCCTGAGTGCTCACTGGAAGGACAGATCGTGAAGCTGAGGCTCCAGTACTTTGGCCACCTCATGAGAAGAGAAGACTCCCTGGAAAAGACCCTGATGTTGGGAAAGATGGAGGGCACAAGGAGAAGGGGACGACAGAGGACAAGATGGTTGGATAGTGTTCTCGAAGCTACCAGCATGAGTTTGACCAAACTGCGGGAGGCAGTGGAAGACAGGAGTGCCTGGCGTGCTCTGGTCCATGGGGTCATGACTAAACAACAACAAAATTCTTCTTGTTGTTTATTTACTTATAGAAAGATTTTTATCCTGCCCTAATGCTTTTACCCAGTATGGTAATCCCTACCTGGCAAGAAATAGCTGGGTGATAGTGGCTTCAGAGTGTAATGGTCTGCATGGAGAGAGGGTTCTGCTCCTGCTTCCTGCTTTCAATCATAACCCACATCTTTATACAGATTAGCCAGAGCTCAAGTTGAGTCTGTTGCTATCACATCTCATTTTACTTATAGCATGGTATTTTTCTGTGTAATTTATGACAGATTATTCCATCTGCAAATGCCATGCAGAAAAGCAACAAATGAATCAGACAAATGTTTCTTTACAATCCAATGGCAGCTCTTTAATCTTTTCCAATGCAAAATAAGGTTTTCAGATCAGACAGTCTAATAAAGCATCTCCAATGAGGACACAGCAGGGATATTTTTTAAATACAGATCCCACCACTGCCTGCTTACTGCTATATTTGTAATATTTCACTCTCCCACCAGTGGAGGACAGGATGCAGTTCACTGAAATTAAATAAATAAACAAACAAGCAAATTGTATTCCAGTAAAGTGGTAACATATAAAGTCACCAACCTTATTTCTTAAAGGTTAACAGGTGTCTGCTGTTAACAGATGTATGACAAGCAGAAAAAAATGTAGCAAGTGAAGCTTTCATCAGCATAGAAATAAAGTGATAGGGAAAGTTTCACTTGAATTCTATCTTGCTACTAAAAAGAAACCTAGCTGAGCAATTGTTTTTCTTTTAAAATTTATGTTTATTTTTAGATTCTCAGAGTATTTATTAGACACTACTGAAAGTTTTTTTTAATGTATTATGTTTACTCTGTTCCTAAATGCATGCACTTGTGTGCTGGAAGTATAAATGAAATCACCTAGATATTTCTAATATTTTTTAAAGGCTAGTTTTTAAGCTATAAGCCTAGTCACACTCACTTGGGAGTAAGTCCCACTGAACTTCTTGGAACTTACTTTTGAGTAGACAAACATAGTATTGCACTGTCAGTTAGCTGAGCTTAGCTCCCACTGAAGTAAATGGGGAAATTAGTCATGCCTTAGGTCTGATTGTTTTCCGTGGGTTTTACTCTCACATATTTAAAATGTATTGACTATCCCCTCTAAAGCAAAATAGAATTATTTGATATTAGCCAAATGAAAGTAGTATCTAAAGTCTTTCATAAGTGGGGTTTTTTTATTTAAAAAAAAAAGCTTCTGACACGTCTCATTGGTTAAATTTAGTAAGTCAATCTTTAGACAACATCTTTCTAACGGCACTTAGAGATCAAAACTGAGGCAACACAACTTTCCCAGGAGCCTAACTGCTAGGCCGCACGAGGCAGGCAAGTCAGGGTGAGGGCAAAAACCTTCAAGTGTCATTACAGTGGTACCTCAGGTTAAGTACTTAATTCGTTCCAGAGGTCCGTACTTAACCTGAAACTGTTCTTAACCTGAAGCATCACTTTAGCTAATGGGGCCTCCTGCTGCCACTGGAGCACAATTTCTGTTCTCATCCTGAAGCAAAGTTCTTAACCTGAGGTAATATTTCTGGGTTAGCAGAGTCTGTAACCTGAAGCGTATGTAACCTGAAGCGTATGTAACCCGAGGTACCACTGTATTACAAAAGACATCCCAAATGGAGGAACAGGGGAACCAACCTGTGTTTTAAAGGACAGCTGGCAACCCTTTTCCTTTCCCCCTTCTGAGCCTGATTTTCCCCTCCTCCCCATTTTTGATGAATTTGAACCCAGAACATGTTGTGCCAGGAAAGAAAGACAGAAAATGCCATTCTGGAGACCCAAGCCCCCTCCAAAAGCTGAGAGTCCTCCACCAGCACCTGCAGCACCTGCCAGGCGACAAAAACTTCCAAGAAGACCAATAAAAGATCCTATTGTAACAAAGAAAGAACTTTGGGAAATAGGGGGGGGGGAGGGGAATCGACGTTTTATTTGAGATTGAGACAATGGAAAACGCAGAAAGGAAAGAGCCTCTGAAAGAATCACCAGTCCCACCTCCAGAGGAAAGAAAGGAGAAGAAAAAAGAGGACCCCACAGTGTGGGAAATACTTTCCAGACGGTCTCCTTCAAAAGGGGGGGGGGTTAACGCACAGAACAAAGCAGCTCCCACAAGATAATTATAAAAAGTTTATTTCCATCGGGGGGGGGGGTGATTCTAAAAATTAAGGCAACACAGACACCATCTTCTGCTCTTTCCCCTCCTGGAATAGAAATCATACTTTGCTAGCTGAGGCTCTTTTCTTCTTAAAGAGCTTTGTGTTCAGAGTAAATTTACTATAGCATCTTTTTTGTATGCTAAACATGTAAACAATATATAAAGAAGGAAATAGTTCTAAGAGCATTAATCTATTACTATTTTAAGAGGCTGGCATTGTTATAAAGCTGAAAGAGGGCAAATTGGCCTACGTAGAACCAATTAGGCTAAAATATTCCAACCAGTCCTGATCACAAGGACCATACAAAATTAATCCCAATTGTCTTAATGGAAGAAATGGGCAGAGCAATCCTATACTCATATTATGCTGGGGAGGGAAGAGAAGCACCACCACTGTGCTGGTGGAAACAGTTGTGTATCCAATGTGTGTTTACCATGGAAGGAGAAGGTGAAAAACAAAACCAGAAACTACCAAAAAAAAAAAAAAAAAAACCCCAACCAGCAGGTACATTGCATGTCCCTGGAAACACCACCACAGCCCACCAAACCAGGGAGCACACCAGTGACAATGGCCACATGTCAAAAAGAGGGACCCGCCCCACACGGGCCAAGTTTGAGTGATGGCAGTCACTTCACCATACCCTCATCACACTAGAAATGGATAGAACTAGGTAGTGGCCACATGCATAGGCAGTGGAGCCCTAGGGCACTGCTTGTCAAAGCAGCGACTAATGCTCTCATGAAACTGCTGGTTTGGCAAAACAGATTCTCTCCCCCCCACCCCCACCCCAACGAAAGGCACACAAACACGCTAAAGCAACATGCAAGCGAAGCCTATGGTGAAATTTGCAAGACAGGCACAAACATACTCCAGGCCCTTCCTATTTCATATTCCCCCATGAGCAAAGTATCCTGTTCTGCCCTGCTACCTCCAGTTGCTGGAATGGAGCGCAAGGGTTGCATTCTTGTGTCTGGAGCCCTGAGGCAGAGAATACCCATTAAAGAGTACAAGTCCAGACACAAAAGTGTCGTGAGCATTAAATATGCATCATACGAGACCAGAGAGATAAAAGACCCATGCTGTACACCCTACCATCTGTGTTATGGCCTCCTTCTGTGGGGGCTTATATAATAGATTGGGTACTAGTTTCTACCATACCCTATTTTCTGTCAAGAAGGCACGGTTGCCAATGATGGGTGACCTTTTTTGTTGTTGTTAACGAAGTCAATGAGAGCGAAATGTCTTTGATCAGGTCTGGGGCTGGTGTAGAGTTGTACCATTAACAAGAGCATGGCCAGGGACTGAAGTTATGCAGCACACTGTATAACTGTACCCCCCACTTCATGCTACCCATGTCCCACGCATGACTTTGCCTCATTTTGTCATGCACACCCCTCTTCCAGGGCCAGATTTAGGTTTGATGAGGCCCTAAGCTACTGAAGGTAATGGGGCCCTTTATATGTCCAGCTGCCCTTTGTCAACAACAAATTGTCACAGTTTTTTGTGTTGAATATATCCTATATGGTAATTTATGGACCTGATAGATATCTAAAGCCATTTGCACATAACAAAATATGTATTTTATCAAAGTAATTGTTGAACTGAAATACAATTAAAAAGAAGTATATTAGTTATCTTATATTTTGGAAATTTACATCCAGTTTTTTTCCCTTTAATTTTTTTTGGGGGCCCCCCAAGAGAGTGGGACTATAGCTTGTTTAGCTTATACGTAAATCCGGCACTGCCCCCTTCCCCTATGTCTGTGCTTCCTAGGGTGGTGGGTTTTAGAAAACCACACAAACCGCCTAAAATCCCTCCCCCCTTCTCCAAACCTGTATCTTATGCCACACTAGACTGGTAATGAAAGCACCCAGCCCACCCTTCTCGTACTACCACCCTTTTCCTTGCACGAACCCAGCAGGTTCCAAGAAACGGCTCAATCTCGGCAACGGCGAAGACCCCGTTTCCTTAGAAACCACAGCGGCTGGTGCGACGTGAAAATGCTTCCTTCCGGCAACCGGCGCTTCGGGCCGTTGGGACCGCCCTTCGCTCCTCTCCGGTCGTAGCCTGTTGAGTTCTCCGTGGAAGCAAGAGTAACTTCCCCAGCCACCTCCCGCTGCATCTAGCCCCGCAAGACACACAGCCGAGAGCCCACGCTTCCTATCCTACCGTTTCCAGCTTCCACCAGTGTTGAGAATTAATTTTTTTTACACACACACCCTTTCCCCATCCTATAATGATCCCCAAGCGATGTTGACGGCGCTGACTTTCGCTCAGGCATGGCCAAACTTGGCCCTCCAGCTCTTTTTTGGACTACAACTCCCATCACCCCTAGCTAACAGGACCAGTGGTCAGGGGTTGTGGGAATTGTAGTCCCAAAACAGCTGGAGGGTCAAGTTTGGCCACCGCTGCCTGCATTTCCTCTTCTGCCGAGGACCAGGCTCGAAAAGGCGCTGCTCAGGCAATTAGCAGTTGCGTAAATGGCTTTTAAAAAGCAAATAGCGGGGTTGAGGGCTAGAGGCAGGTCATAACCCTCGCTTGTGTCCCCTACAGGGGCTTTAACATTACCTATAGACTTCCTCCACACACAGTACTGCTGTCGTATTTTCATTGATCTATATATACATTTTGCCTTTTCTTTAAAAAACCCCAACAAAAATCACAATGAAGAAATATTAAGGGAACCAGGTCAAGCCAGTTCAGTTCTAAACGAGGAAGCATTTGTTTTGGGTAAAGCAGTCACACCCCACACACAAACTCTGCCCTACGATTCTCATGCTCCCCCGCCCCCTTGTCTACGTGAAGCTTGGAGCAACACAGGAAGATGGATTTAAACACTCATCGTTTTCGTCAGCCCCAGTGACATCCCTGACTGGAACAGCATGACTAGTTTCCTGTAATAACTGTTAACATGTTTAAACAGTGTGCAGAGTTTTACGGGCTGGGGGAAAAATATGTTCTCGTTCATTATTTTAATACAAGGGCAGAGAGTTAGGGGAGCTTTGGCAGGGAGGAGAGGAAACATGTTTTCAGAAACACTAATTTATTTGTTTTGCAAAGTCTTTGTATCCTGCCCTGCCCTAAATCATACAGATTTGGAAGGCAACTAACAAATATAAAATCACAATAAAACATAAAAGAGCCTGCTGGATCAAGCTAATGACCCATCTAGTCCTGCATCCTGTTCTCACAGTGGCCTGTGGGAAACTCACAAACAGGACTTGAACACAGGAGTTCTCTATTTTTGTGATGGTGGAGACAGAGCATAACCATCATGGTAACAGTCGAAATAAATAAAAAAATTGTCCAGTAGCACCTTAGAGACCAACTAAGTATGTTCTGGGTATAAGCTTTTGTGTGGTCTCTATGGTGCTACTGGACAATTTTTTTATTTATTTCAACTGCGTCAGACCAACACGGCTACCTACCTGAATCTAGCATCATGGTAGCAGCCAGTGATAGACTTATGAATTCAGATTCTTTGGGGAAAGCCATTACTGTTTAAAGTGGTATGATACTGCTTTAAATGTGTAGTGCATATGGGGCCCTTACTGAAATATGCATAGAACTGCAGCATTAAATCACAATACCACTAGCAAATTTTGTTCTTACTGGCTTTTTTAGCATTTGGGGTTATTGCTGTAATAATTTTTTCAAGGGCATTTTTTCAAAAGCTTTCTCAGAGCTACAAATCAGCTATACAGTACTATACATCTCTCTTTCTCTCTCTCTCTCATAACCAAGAGACAGGAGAAACTGAGGACTAATTTTGGAATCTGCAATAAACTCTGGTTGATTTAACATTTCCCAGATGCCCACAGATATGTTGTTTGCTTAGCTGCTGCAGAAAAATATACGTTTTAAAACATTATGAACACATTGAACAGTTCTTGGGTAATAGAAGTGCGATGCTTGGTCTTGTCTCTCACAGTTACCAAATTCTAGAACAACAACAACAGGCTATGTACACATTAGCATCTTAAAACACAGTGATCTGCATTTCAATTCACATTTGCACATTGTTGTACATACCGGAGAGAGAGTGCTTTATCCAATGCACTGTTACCTGTTTGGTTTCCCTGAACCTGCAACTCCTGTTCATGAAGCTATCATCTGTGCATGCACAAGGGCTGTCTGAAAAGTACACACTGCTGCTTGACTGCAAAGTGAATGTGGATTATGTTTTCAAATCAGTTAGAAGCTAGTCTGAGGGAAACATATCAAGCAGCAGTATTTATAAAGAAACTAGATATGAATTGTGGCTAACAACCTGGGTACATGATTTCAAAAATCAGTGGTAGGAGGAATGCGGTGAAGCCAGAGTAAATGGTAAGGTGTACACAGCCTCACTGTGAGGCATGGTGTGAACAAGATATTATGCAAAAATATACAGAAATAATATTTGCCAATATGTTTCAGATCCCAGTGTGAAGTAGATCTTGGAACTGCAAGCTGTACTGGGCTACATTTTATGCAGACTGCCATTCATATTTTTACCATTGTATCATTCTTCTCCCCTTCATGGCTTTGTCATGGCGAAGGGGCTTGAATAACTCCAAGAAGCTCTGAGCTATGCCATGCAGGGCTACCCAAGACGGACATGTCATACCCGAGAGTTTAGACTAAATGTGATCCACCTGGAGAAGGAACTGGCAAACCACCCCAGCATTTTGCCAAGAAACCATAACAAAGGAGAAGCTTTGAGAAGAAAGTGAGCGTTTCCTAGGCATGCTCTGGTTCATGGGGTCACGGAGAGTTGAACACGACTAAGACGACTAAGCAACAAAATCATTCTTCTAAGGCTACCCCAAGTTATGGAAAGGGTCTTGTAATATGAAATGCCTGTTTTGTTACCTGTTACTGTTACCTGAAATAAATAAATTAATACAATTTAAAACATGTTTGGAAACTACAGCTAATGCAAAATGTGGTGATCAATTTGTTAACTCAGCTGAATTCAAACTGCACATATTTTAGATCTGGAAGGCCACAATATGAAGTTTGGCAGGCATGCATGTCTTTGGTATGGGAAAGCTAAAATATATAAGAGCTTCATGAACCATGTTATTAGGAGAAATCTGTATAGAGTCTGGGAGAAACATAAAAACTTGTTGGAAAGAAAAACACCCCATGGTTATTGCCAACAGAAGCAAATACAATTACAATTAATTACAATTAAGAGAATAAATATGAAGAGACAGTGGGCGACTTATAGGGATTTGTTAGATTTTTCAGGGAGTGAACCCAGATTAAAACCAATGGAAGAAGTAAGGGAACCAAGTTACTGATTGGTTACAGTACCATCAACTATATGATATGTTCAGACTAGATAAGAAAAATGGCTTTTTGGACCAAAGCTCACAATCTGAAACAGAGTTATTGCTGAATAAGAAAAAAACAATTGTCCAAAATGTACAAATTATTATTGGAATGGGAAACAAAATATGAGCTGGTTAAAGCATCAATGACCCACTGGGTAATGGATATAGGGTACAGAACATAGAATATAGAATTAAACCTCTGGGATAATCTTTGGAAGAATGATTTGAAATTTACTGCATGCTACATGCTGAAAGAGAATTTTATGAAATGATTCATAGATGGTAGGTATCTAACACTGAGTAGATTGGCTAAGATGTATAATGTGGAATCGATTTGTGTTGGAAATGTAAAGTAGAAGGAACCTTTTTCATATGTGGTGGACATGCAAAAAAATTAAAGAACATTGGGAAATGATATATAATGAGATGGGGGGAAATGTTGAAAAGAACTTTCCCCAAGCAACCCAGAGGCATTTCTGCTAGGAATTGTATAGGCAGAGGTTCCCAGGAGTCAGAAAATTTTGCAGTGGCGTAGCGTGGGTTGTCAGCACCCGGGGCAAGGCAAGTAATTTGCGCCCCCTAACCCGTGGATTTGCGCCCCCTAACCCTAACCCCCAGATGTTGCGCCTGGTGCAGCCGGCACCCCCTGCACCCCCCATGCTACACCACTGAATTTTTTTTTATGTATGCAACAACACCTGCTCAGATTTTGTTAGCCAAAAGATGGAAGCCAAGAGACGTTCCTAGTAAGGAGGATTGGTAACTTAAATGGTAGAATATGCAGAGTTAGCAGGTCTAACAAATGGAATAAGAGAACACGAACAGGTATTTAAAGAGGAGTGGAAAATATTTGTTGAGTATATTGAAAATAATTGTATATAGTTAAAAACGCTGGCAGTATTAAAATAATTCAGAGGATGTAAGAAAGGTAAATTGAATTTAATGGGTACATTAAAATATGCAGGAATGTTGGATAAGACAAATGAACCTAGGAAGGAAAGGGAGAGAAGTCAATGAATGTTTGGTATAATAAAAGATGTTTTTTGCAAAACAAACTGTTGGTCTTGACCTTTAAAACCTCAAATTACCTGGACCAAGGTAGCTAAAGGACTACTTCCTGTTGTGTGAACCTGCGTGTAAGTTGAGATCATCTTCAGACTCACTTTTCTGTAAGTTGCAGTACTATGTCGTATGAAGTAACCTACTCCACAATAACTTGGAGCTGGACTTTCAGTGTGGCCAGTGCCAGATTTATGTATAGGCTAAGTAGGCTGAAACATAGGGCTTTTATATCTAGGGGGCCTTGCCAGCCCACACGCTCGCCAGCGGGTAGTCTCCCCTCTCCCAAAATTGCAAACCCAAGACTTCATGTGAGGGCAGGGCAACTCAGGCCTCTAAATCTAGGGGGCCTCACCAGCCTGCCGTCTCCCCCAATACTTCATGTGAGGGCAGGACAACTCAGGCTCAGCAACTATTAGACTGAGGGCTAGCCAGTGGGGCCCAATTTGAAGCAATGGGGCACAACTTGAATTTTTTTTTTTTTTGTAGGGCCCCAGTTCACACCCAAAGTCTGCAAAATCTTATAGATATAAATAAAATCCATCTAGATTACCCTGGTGCAGGGGCCCCCTTAGGAGCGGCCCGCAGGGCCCAATTTGGCCCAATTGCTCCAATTGCCTTACCAGACGTCCCTGGAGACAGTCCCTGGATTCACCAATCTGTCGCCAGACAAAATCTGTCCCCGGATTTTAATTAATGTCCCTGAATTTATGCCTGGGGATTTCCGGCAAGGCAACATGGTGGGCGCCATGGCAGTGAGCAGCACCGGAGGTCCCAGTCATGTCAAAGTTCCTACAGCCTGCCCTTTTTCTGTCATGGGAGAGACAGGCACCCACTGTATCTGTACTTTCCAGAAACAATTTAAGACATTTTTGTTTCAGCAAGTTTTACCAGGGAGACAAAAAATTCTCTGCTTTGGTGTTCAT